ATGAAGACACAGGTTTGAGCGTTTACCGCGAAGAGGAAGCCCTTCGTCGTATTTCCCTCTTATCTAACTATTAAAAGTTACCTGTTTTCACGAAATTTCATTTCACCTCAAAAGTTCCCTTGTAACTTGTCATCTTCCTAGTAACACGCTCTTGTAAATAAACAAAAGTTTATGTAATTTATTTTGACCGCTTCAGGCATCAGGTGTTCAATCTAAAATATCCGCCATAACCGAATGAAATATAGGAATACGTACCTATAGGAATTGATGTAAAAAGAAACAAGCGCGTTTGTGTCTAGATAAAAATTAAAGACGATGCGATTAACAGGAAAATAGTTTTTGTCGTAAGATAGACTCTGAATTACAATTAAATTTATGTCCAGTCCTTCACTGCCAATCGAACGAGGAAGTTTAAAGTCGCTCAGCGAGCTATGCTTTGATTATATACAAGCTATGGCTATATTTCTCTACATTGATGAGTTCAGAATGCAGATATCTCCAATAGAACTAATGTAACCAGTGGCGGACTTCAGAGGCCCGGGGCGGTAAAGCTGAATGTGGCCCCTAGTTTAAGGAATTGATCTTATAAACAAGCTTTTTATTCACTTCACATTTGTATGTGTGAGTGTTTATTTAGTTAAAATCTTAAAGTCTTAAGCGAAATTTAAATTGCACAGAGATGGATGAGGAAAAATAAAAAACGAATCCATCAAAAAAAAAAACTAAACAGTAAAAATAAAGTAATAGGTAGTTTTTATTTCAAGTAAGTTTCTGGAACTAAAACAATATAGACATTATAAAGATTAGCAGCAGTGACTTAGATTGCCTTAGACGGGCCCTCAAATCAAAATATATCGGCAAAAGAAACAAAAATGTCGCTTGGAATGAATATACACTTTTCTCCTATTTTTCGGAAAATGTATTTATGTTTGTTAACGTAGTTGTGTTTTTCTAGATCTTTTTTTTTATTTCGTGAAAAGAATGCTTAGTAAAATATTAACTTTCTCTATGTCCTTTTCATGCTGTAGAGCTGTAGTATTCATGATTTCTAGTAGTGAAGAAAAAGACAAGCATTATTAATAAATTCTATGCGCGTTATTCATATTTTTACAATCGTTACGTTCGCCTTTTTTGTGAAAATTTATTAAGTTGCTACAAAATTTTCATTACGAATGAATAATTTTTCCTTAAAGCGTCATTTCTCGAAAATCTTCTAGCAGGACAAACTTTTTTAAGATTATCTAATTTTATATTTTTCAGATGAATCGTTAATATACTCAATACTAGACGAGTCTATTTTTATTAACGAAAAACAAAACCGACTTCAAATATCTCGCTCAGTATATCTAATTTTATAATTGATTTTTAGAAGTTCTCTAACATCTCCGGAGCCCAAGATCCAATAACAATGAAATCAATATGGGACCACATGGGAAGCATCAGCTTTCAAATAAAAAATATCTCAGATCTTTGGACTGAGTGAGTAACAAACATGAAAAAATACAGTCGATTTGAGAACCTCCTCCTTTTGAAGTCGGTTAGAAAGTATAATTTTTTTTCCAAATTATCCATTATAATATTTCTAATATTTTTTATTTTCGACATGTCTCTACTGTATCCAGAATAATTGCCAGAAATTTTTTATTATTTTTCTCTACCTGCGCTAATCGACCGAACCAAATTAAAACCAAATTAACAATTCCATTTTGAATCGTCTATATACAGAACAACGGTCTGTTAAATGTAGATTACATGATGTGATGATGCTAAAGTAATTTGAACATTACATCTGACCATTACTGGGCAAACGTGGTCAAAACTCATGAATGACTTTATTATTCATGTAGGAAAATGTGTCCATAGATGATATTGTATAAGTTATCATTTATTTTTCCCGGGAATTTTTGCTTTCATTCCGTATCATTGTTACGGCTGACATAGCGTTAGTTATGCCCCGATTATATGATTTTATTTACACGTTTTCTTAATCTGAAAGAATTAATATTTTTTGGGATCTCCAAACTCCTACTTCTTAGATAGGTACTATGCATATTTTTAAAGCCTTGTTTAGGATGTTTTTAAGGAAAGATGAAGGCGTCTGGGGGCCCCCAGGACCTGCGGCCCGGGGCGGACCGCCCCTTCCGCCCCCCGGTTAGTTCGCCTCTGAATGTAACCGTAAACCTACATAGCGCAGAATAATCTTCTGAGCTGTCTGGCTTCTAAGCTGAAGTGTAAATGGGCGCGCCGTATGACTCGAACAACCGATAACCGATGGGGAAGAAGGTTCTCGAGTGGTATTACAACACAAACTAAACACTTTACAGTTTGTTCAATATTTATATCAATCTATACAAAATGGTATTTTGGGCTAATTAGCGTTACATTTCACATGAATAGCCTCCATACATTCATCAAAAATTTGTATGACAATGAAAAAACGTGTATCAAGTTCTTTGAAAATGACGTACCAACGGCCATATGTAATTAAAGTTTAAAAATAAAAGAAAAACGAATGCTATCACAATTTTATTAATAATAAATAACAAAATAAGCCAAAAAGATATGTTCAATACAATATAAAATAACTTAATTCTTAAACAAGCGAAATAATTAAACTCACGCTTAACCGTTATAAAGAGGAATGTCATACATAAAGGGGGGCTTTCCTAAAGGTGCCCAAATTCACACAGGAGGTTCAGACTCTGTAGTATAATCGTTTATTGAAATAAAAACAAACTTTTTTTTTTATTTATTTCGTCTATTCCCTAAAAAACAGAACTTGTTGACAATGCGGTAGTCAGTAGTCATTCATAAATGCGTCGTATATATTTGCAACGAACTTGCGTGCGTGTTAGTTATGAATGATCGTAAAGTAAATGAGTTACCCATAAATCACGCACTTTTTGAGATAAGTTCTAATGAATGTATTTAATCAATTACGAGTGATTTTAAATATTTATTATTTTTTATATAACATTATTTATGTCTAGAATTTAATTTTAAAAAATGGATACACTTAGACACACTAATACACAAGTGACTCCCCACTAAAAGCTATACGTTTATAGGTACCAAAGTTTAAATATAAGATTGCATAAGATTAGCAAAATATGAGCAAAATATATCAATGAAAACATGATATATATATCAGTAACACAAGATTTTTTTAAACCTGAATAGGTAACATCGGAAGGGGAAATTATATAGATCTCTTTTTTTCAATCTAGAGACCTACACAATTTCAAATATGCCATGTCATATATCGTTCTTATATCAGTAACACAAGATTTTTTTAAACCTGAATAGGTAACATCGGAAGGGGAAATTATATAGATTTCAATCTAGAGACAAAATCAATTAAATGCCATCATATATTTGTATGCTAACATTAAATTTACATCTTACATAAGACAAATTCAATAAAAGTTCGCCGCAAATTTAAACCGTTATAGAAAAAAGCACTTTTTTGATTTTTTACAAAACTGAACAAATGAGTTTATACTCTGTTTTTATATCCCCCTCTGAGCTACTGAGTTGAAAGGTGTCTCCGTTGTCGTTCACTTGTTCTCTCGTATGTAGTAAAGGGAAATGAACCATATCTCCGAAGATATAGAGACATAGTTTACAAATTAAGTGAGCTACTGATATATTAGTTCTTCCGCAGGATATTAATCGTTCCCATCACTCACTCGCGAGCTACACTACTCTAGTACAGAAAGAACGCTGTAGCAAACTGCGCCCTAAGAAATAACGAATTTATATCACAAAAATGCTGACAACACCTACATCTTGCGCCAGAGGGTGTGGGTTCGATCCCCACTACTGGAAAAATATTGTGCGATGAACAATGTTTTTCCGGTGTCTGGATGTTTATATATTTATAATATGTATTTACTCACCAAAGAAGTATATTTTCACTACATGTATAAAACAAAGTCGTCCTGCTGTCTGTCTGTCCCCATGTATGCTTATATCTTTAAAACAACGCACCGGATCTTGATGCGGCTTTTTTAACTAGATAGTGATTCAAGAGGAAGGTTTATATGTATAATACATTGCACCCGTGCGAAGCCAGGGCGGGTCACTAGTTTATTTATAAACAAGCATGTTTATCAGTTACCTAGTACCCAGTACAAGCGTTGCTTAGTTTGGGACTAGAAAACGTCTAAAAATGAGTCCTGAAATATTTATTATTTATTTATTAATAAGAGAAACATCAAAGCCAGCGAACGAAATATTCTTCCTTTTTTCCAATGCTAACATCTTTAAATATAATTTAAATAATATAATTTTATCTTAAAAAAGTAAAACATTTTTTTTTGACAAAAAGGAAAACCGACTTCGATAATTATTTTCTCAATGACTACATTTTCTAGTTGATTTTGAGCACTTCCCCGATGTCTCTCGGATTCACACATCTAATGGCAATATAAAGAGAATTTTCCAAAATCTGTTCACAAATGACGTGACATTTCCGAGGTGACGAACATAAAAAAATACAACCGAATCGAGCGCACCCTCCTTTTTCGAAGTCGGCTGGAAAATTTATCGAATGGCTAAAAGCGAACGGAGCTTTTGATAGTTTCTACTGTGCAGTGTAGAGGGAAAGAGAACTGTTACTGTTTATTAAAAAGTGTCCGTAGAACAGCGTTAAACAAGGGTAGCGCTACTGTAGCTAGAGTTTAAATTTTTAAGGGCGCGCCGTAAAATATAAGAGTAGGGACGGGAATAGAGGGTAGGGACAGGAAAGAAGCAGCTTTTTAATAAAAATATTTTAACAATAAACAAAATATATAAGTCAAAAAATCACAAAAAAAAATTTTAGAAAGTAAAAGTCGCTAAGTTCATACATACACTCTAGCTACTTTAGCGCTGTTACGGAGAGTTTTCGAACTGTTATTTACTGCTTACGGATGGAGACTCTTTCAAGTATGATATATCGAGACGGTTCTCCTTACGTCTACACCCCGCAGTTTCTATCACTACACTACACGGCACTACTCCGGCGGTGGGGTTTTGACTACGTTCGTTTCCAGAAGCATCTTGGCATCCTTGCTGCCAAGCTCTTGGCGGAAGAGCTGAGCGTGTTGCCAGGCGACGTCGCCGCTGCCGCCAGACAGTTGGCAACGGAGCACCGCCTCTTTGAACCGCCGATGGAACGTCCAAATGCGGCCTGGGAACCGGTGTTTGATGTAAGTCAAAGAAAATAATTAAAATACAAATACGCATCCCTGAAAGAGGTTTGAGAACTTGGCTACTACAGTTGTACGTGTTTTACGGCGGTGGGGCCACGCAGCAGCCTCGGCTGTTGCACGAATGGGCAGGCCCGTCCGGGTAAGTACCACGACCTCACAGAAGACCAGCGTAAAGTGGAAGTATGACAAATACTTTCGCGTTTCGTCTGGTGAGTGAGGTAGCCGGAGCCCAATTTTCAAACGGTTGTCAAGCAGATGTCCATGGGCGGCGGTATTCACTTAACATCAGGTGAACCGTCTGCTCGTTTGACAACTTTTCGCATAAAAAAGATGTTGTCCCCGGTTCACTATCGTAGATAACAAAATATCGTTTATCGACGTAAGGAATTGCTATCGATAGTTTTTTTTTTTTAATTTAATTTTACTTGAGGAATAGATGTCACTTGGCAAGTCTATTTGTATATTCATAGGATAAATTAAAACGTCCAATTATATACATTGGACGTTTTAATTTTATTCTATAAAAACGTGTTTTTTTATAAAAATTGTTAACTTTTATAGTAATAATTATTATTATTATTATTGTGATAGAAAACAATTTGTGAATTCTATCTATTCGTAATTTCTGCCGCAGAGACTATATATGCAAGAAAAACGTTTAAAAATTTAAGTAAAACTTCTTTATGCGCGATAAAGATTACTTGTAGTCTTTGGAGCTTTGGACGACGACAATGCAACGGAAACGCGTTACAACGATGACGCGTTTATTTAGCATCCGATTTTTAAATATATTCATTTTAAATAAACAAATAATAATTATTAAAAACTTGTAGAAAAGACTACGAAAAGATTGTCGCCGCTGTGGGAATCGAACCCAGGTCTTCGGCATTCGCGGCCTGACGCTTTAACCACTAAGCTGAACATCGACGAAAACCTTAAGGTCTTTTATCTACATTGTTATTTAGCATTTGAAGCAATGCTTGGCGCATCTATTGTTATATCCTTTCCAGCATAAAAACAATTTCGAATATCGTTTTACAACGATAATTCGAACGAGACATGTCGCCATTGCTTTTTATAAATTTTTAAAGTTTTTTTATAGTGCTAATCTCTGCACTTAAGATTGAACATTAAAACATGTAGAAAAAGTACGAAACTTACTTTTTCCACAAGTTTTAATGTTAAATCTTAAGTGAAGAGATTAGCACTATAAAAAATTTAAATAATAATTGTTTATTATTAGATAAAGTAAAAGTAAAGTAAAATATACTTTATTGTACACCAATAGAAATAAAGGATTTATAACTAAAGACACATGGCTACAACAGGCGGATATTACATTACATTAATTAGACAGACAGTAGATAATACATTAATATTGAATTATTTAATAAAAAAATGATTTAAATGAAATAATCATTAATTATTTTAAAGATTATACAAAATATATAATACGAATAGCCCAGAAATGTTAGATTTGTTTTATAATTTCCATTTGCAAGAGATCTACAGAACAAATGCGAACGAGACGTTTTGCTCTTACTCCGTCCGATAAAGCGGTCGGGCGTAAAGTGGTCTTTGCCGTTTCCTTTTTAGCCGACTTCAAAAAGAGGGGGTTCTCAATTCGATTGTAATTTTTTTCACGTTTGTTACCTCAAAACTTTCGGCCGAGTGAAACGATTTTGATGATTTTTTTTTATTTGAAAGTTTGCGGCTTCCCATGTGAACCCACATTAATTTCAATGGTATTGGACCTTGGGCTCCGGAGACACTTAGAGAAGTCCCGAAAATCAATTGTAAAATGAATACGGAGCGAGATATTTGAAGTCGGTTCCGTTTTAATTTAGTAAAAAAATATATCATAAAAAATATATAAAACATATCATAAAAAAATATAAAATATATCATAAAAAATATGAAAGAATATATCATAAAACAAATATATCAAAAAAATATATGGTTATATCATCTGTGGCTACTCACTCGTCTCGCCCTCTTCGAAGTCGAGGGGCAGGGGCGGTTCTGCGTTGAACTGGACAGTGAAGGTGAGCCGCCCCCCATAGAATTGAGCCCAACCGAGCTCCACGGAGAGATATTCGAAGTTGAGACAGTCGCCCGTGACGGCCAACCGCCAAGATATCGACCCAGCATCCGCGCCCTCTACAAAAGATCGTTTCTCATCCCCATATACCTCCTCTTCGTTATCATACCGCATTTTTAACCGATTTCAAAAAAAAATATACGTGTGATACCATGATAAGGAAACCCGGACCTGATGATGGCATCCCAGAGAAATCGGGGGCAATCCTCGAATGTTACAGGTATTAACTATTTTTTTTAGGTTCCGGTTTTAAGTCGGTTTTTTTTTTTGTTAAAAATTATTTATGTTCGAAGGTGCGACTGTGCTGGCCGTTGACCTGACGTTAAGTGATGAAATACGTGTTCAATGTGCAATATCTTGTCTGTGACCAGGGCAGGGTCAGATTTCTGTATGTAGTGTGGAGTGTTCATTCGTAGTGTTTAATTAAAACTATTATTTCATGGCATCAAAGTAATAGAGAATCGAAAAAATCGCATAGAAAAATCGAAGGGTCGTGCCGGTTGCTCCTTGAGCCCTGCAAAGTACGTAAATATGTGTGTATTTATGTCCCTAATATGTATTATGTATATGTGTGTTTAATGAATAATTGTATGTCTATATATTGTACGTTGTCAATAGATACAGGGAGACTTTTTTAAAGGTGCCCAAATTTACACAGGAGGTTCAGACGCGGTAGTATAATCGTTTATTGTAATAAAAACAAACTTTATTGAAAAAAAAATTGCCATGCCATTTTGCCATCCCTTAAAAACGGAACTTGTTGACAGTAGTAGTCATTATAAATGAGACGTATACTTTTGAAACGAACTTGTTGCGTGTTAGTTATGAATGATCGCGCGTAAAATAAATGAGTTGCATGTAATTAATTACTTACGAGTGATTTTAAACATTTATAATTTTTTATATAACATTATTTATAAGCCGTGATAGCTCGGTGTCTGGGCGCTCGCCTTTAAGTCAATATACTCGAGCAACCCTAGTTCGGATCCCCGGTGTCGGCAGCAATGAAATTGTTAATTTCAAGTGCTCAACAGTGAAGGAAAACATCGTGAGGAAACCTGCGTATTTTCGAAATAATCATAAAAAAAAATATTTCGAAGATAATTATGTTAAGTCCGCCAAGCCGCGTGGTGGACTGTGCCCAGATACCTTCTGTACAGAGGAAGTCTGTGCCCAGCAGTGGAATTATCCAGGCTGATATTTTACTTTACTTATTATTTTTGTCTAGAATTTGATAAAAAAATGGATACACTTGAAAAGCCTCCCTGTATAAATAATTTCTCACCACGCCCCATTGCAACAATAAATAAATAAAAGTACCTTCTCTGGCCAGGTAGACCTGGCGCCAGTCGGTCTCGACCTTGCGGAAGAGCGATTCGCACGCGTAGGCCCCGCTACTGTGGCCGCCCAGCCGCCGCTCGATCCGCCCCTCGTAGAGGAATTCGTAGCGGTCCTCGGCCGCGCAGTACTCTACGGCGTAGCTGCCCGGGCGCGAGTATTCGAACGTGTGGCCGCCGGAGGCGCCCTGCTCGCGGCGGTTCTTCCGCCACTGGGCCGAGCCCGACACTCGGCCTCCGAACTCGCTCTCATCGGCTTCCCTGCGGAGGCAGAACGAAATTTTTTAAATTTGGACAATGGTAGGTCGTGTAAATGATAAACTTACATACTAATATTTAAATAAACTAAACGAATATGTTGTATTTTTGTATAATAATAATATACTAATATATACGAAATAAGATCCAATAGACATACATAAATCTAAACATATACTGTACAATAACTTACAAAAATATATACAGGAAGAAAAGAATAAAAAAATAAATATACAAATGTCGTCGGTGATAATCAGCTTGAACACAGTGACAGATAATAATTTTTAACGTCAGTTTTAAACTTGCGTAACGTTTTTGAGCGCTGGATGTGTGGAGGAAGCGCGTTCCATAGGCAAATGGCTTTGACCGTAAAAGAGTTCTTAAAATAATTGGTCCGGAAAGTATGCGGGGTGATAATGAGTTCACTGGCTGATCGCAGAACTCTTTCTGGTCTGTCATGACCAAGAAATTTAAACTGTTCCTTCAAATAACTCGGAGTCATAGGATTGAACAAAACACAGTACAGAAGAGAAACAATATGCAGATTCCGGCGAAGGCGGATGGGTAACCACTTGAGCTTTGTACGATATTCGGAGACATGTTCATACTTGCGTAGACCGAAAATAAATCTGATAGCTAAGTTTTGAATTCGCTCAAGCTTGTTAAGTTGGTCCTCGGTTAAATCAAGATAGCTTGCGTCCGCATAATCGAGAAGGGAAAGAAGTAAGGATTGTGCTAACATAATCTTAGTAGGAATGGGGAGAAAAGAACGTAAGCGCCGCAGAGAACCCATGGCTGCAAATGTCTTCCTGCTAACTTCCTTTAACTGGTGAGACCACGAGAAAGTAGAGTCGAAGTGAACACCAAGGTTTTTAACAGTTTTGTTGTATGGCACCACAACACCATTTAATGTTATCGAGGGAAGGTTATCCCAATCTACCTTTGAAATCATGCCAACTCCGCCAACAATGATGGCCTGGGACTTGCAAGGATTAATCTTAAGACCATAGCTCTTACTCCACTCGCTAATAGCCGCCAGGTCACCATTAATGGCAGTAACAGCAGTGGGCAAATTTTCAAGATTTGAATGTGTGTACAGTTGAAAATCGTCTGCATACATATGGTAGAGAGAAGTAATATTGTGAGAGATTGAATTAATAAAGATAGCAAAGAGTAATGGAGACAACACACCACCTTGAGGCACTCCAGCTCGTAATTCACGCCAGGATGAAAACATACCATCAATGCGAATACGCTGCTGTCGGCCACTAAGATAACTCTGAAACCAGCCGGCCACTGGTGGAGATATGTTAGCAGAACGTAACAGACTCAGCAGAATGTCATGATCAACAGAATTAAATGCATTACTGCAATCCAATAGTACCAATACTGTGAGCTGTCTATTGTCCATACCTCGTCGAATATCGTCAGTAATTTTAACCAGCGCTGTAGTTGTACTATGTCCTGACCGGAAACCGGATTGAAAAGGATTTAGAAGGCAGTTTCTATTCAGATGGAGATTTAATTGGTGGAAAATGAGTTTCTCTAGGACTTTAGATAGAAAAGGGAGAATGGAGATGGGATAGGGCGGAAATCGGTAGAGTGCACGGCATGAGCCTTTTTAGGAAGAGAGGAGTTACTAATGCACTTTTCCATGCTTCAGGAAATTTAGATGTGGAGATAGATTCATTCAGGATATGGGTGATAACAGGAGTAACTAGGTCAAGGATAGGTAGGATCATGTTAAGACTAACGCTGTCATTCCCCGCGGCATTCGACGAGACCGACAATATGTTCCTTCTAACATCACACTCAGTGAAAGGAGTGAAATTAAACGGTGGGAAATCAGGAGTTGGCGCTTTAGAAAGAATACTCAACGTGATATCTTTATCTGATCTATCAATTGTACTGGAAGAGGCAAAATGTTGGTTAAGGAGTTCAATATCAATATTATTATGAAGAGAGCTAGAGTGTAATTTACCAACTCCCAGAGATTTAGGAAATTTCCAAACTTTGACAGTGTCGCCGTTTTCGACAAATTTGTGAATGTGGCGTCGTATATAGATATGTTCCAAATAATAGTAAATATAAAAAAGCGACAATTGAATTAAAAATGGGAAATATTACGATACGATATATTATAGTTGGTAGTTGTTAGCCATAGTAGGCTCTCTTCTTGAAGGTCCTTAAGTCGGTTGGCAGTTCTACGTTGTACAACGTCGTGTATGGTAACATTATGGGACGTTGGTGAAACCATCCCACCAACTTTTTTTTGTTCGGTTTGATTATTAATTGGACCTATGCTGTTGCAAGAATGGAATGGCCTCGTCCCGGGAGGTGCCACAGCCTCACGGAACACCAGCGTTAAATGGGAGTATTTTACTTTTGCGTTTCGTCGGCCGAGTGAGGCGACACGGGCTCACTTTTTTTAAGGATTGCAAACCCCAACATGTTATTGATGTCCGCTTGACAACTTTTCACATAAAAAAAGTTTAGATTTTTAATAAATGGAAAAGAAATTTTCCCAAATTAACAGGCAAAAGGATCTTTAAACAGATCAAAGGCAGAACAGAGCCATGTTGAACCAGAACAGAGACCTGTTCATAAACTCTCTACGGAGAATTTATGTTGTCAGGTAATTCTGATGTTCAAGGTCCGGAGATGGGTCTTTAGAGCCACTCACCTTTCCACCATCAATTGCACGAGCTCCTTGACGCACCGCTTGATGAGGTACGACTTCCTCGCCTCGGAGACCATCGCCTGCCTGGCGGCGCGGAGGGACATCAAGGACGATATAAGCTCCAACTCCCCGCATTTGTCCCGTCTCATCACCGCCTGAACGAGGAAACGTTGAACGGAACGAATGAATGAATGAATGAGTGCTATTTATTTCGAACATAAGTACAGGGTCTTTTATAAATGTTAGCGATCCATGCCTAATTCTATTGTATTAGTGTGGATTGAGTAGCGTAATATCATTACGTTGTTTGGCAGGATTGCACTGCGTGGATTGCGCAATGTATTAGGATTGCGTAAAGTTGTTGGAATGCGAATCGCGGTAGGCTAGCCTAGTGTCCTAGAATTTCGCCGAGCGGCAGCATTGCGTACCGTGATAGAATTGCGTATTGTACTAGAACTTCGTTGATTTGTAGCATTGCATAGCGTGATAGCATTACGTATTAGGGTAGGATTGCATTGCGTTGGCGGATTTCGCAGTGCAGTAGGATTGCGTAAAGTGATTCAAATGCGGAGTGTCGTAGAATTGCATAGTGTACCAGAATTTCGTCAAGTTGTAGCATTGCGTAGAGTGATAGAGTTGCGTGGTGAGGGTAGGACTGCATTGAACAGTGTAGTCGGATTGAGAACATTTGGAGAAATGCGGAGTTTGGTAGAATAGCGTAGTGTACCAGAATTTCGTTCGCATCGCTTAGCGTGATAGTGTTGCGTAGTGAGGTAGGACTACATTGAGCAGTGTTGTTGTGATGCGCAGTTTGGTAGGGTTGCGTGGCGCGTGCCTGTTTGTGGTGGGTGACGTAGCGCCAAGTGACGTCCTGCACGTCGTCCCTGGACACGGCGATGACGTAGCTGATGATCTTGCGCCAGCCGCAGCAGTAGGTGAGCGGCGCGTCCAGCAGGCACTCGCAGGGATCCACGTGCAGCCACCGGTCCGTGCCGTGGTCGTACACCTGCCGAGGCGACGATCGCTTGCTTTCACACTATACACGTGCACAAATCAAACCGTCCCACCGATTTGTTAACTTTTTACACACTGTAAACGTAAAAGAAGTAAAGTAGCAGCTTATATGTCCCACCGTTGGGACACCCTTTATTATGACGGTCCTAAGACCGTTCTAAGTATGAAGGAAAATTGGAATCATAAACTCACTTGTACTATAATACGTGTGTAGTAACAAAATTTAGTTGAGTGCGTGTCACAATGTAGATAGAGAGGTGTCGACATTTATGCGTCGTATACTTTTGAAACAACTTGGGTGCGTGAAAGTTATGAATGATCGCGCGTAAAATAAACGAGTTGCGTATAAATCACGCACTTTTTGAGATAAGTTCAAATTAATGTAATTGGTTACTTACGAGTGATTGTAAATATTTATCATTTTTTACAATTCATTATTTATGTCTAAAATTTAATTTAAAAAAAATGGATACACTTAGAAAATTCTCCCTGTATATTTTTTCCTTATTATTTCGAATATATGCAGGTTCTCTTACGAATTTTTCCTTCACCACTGACCACGTTATAAGTCAGCACTTAAAATTTCATTGGTGCCGACATCGGGGGTCGAATTCAGGTTACTCGAGTATATTGAATTAAAAGCTTTTTTTTAAAAAACCGTAAGTAACATATAATAAATAACATAAAATAAATTAGAAATTGAGGGTATCCCGGGTTGCATTGGGCCGAAAAAGAACTCGGTCTGTCACGTGACCATAAACGTTGTATATCGTCCTCAAAGAATAGAATTTAGAAAATAAGAAACGCAATTAAGTCTGTAACATTTAAATAAAGTTAAAAAGTTAAAAAAATAATAATATATATAAAATTGTTTCCTCAACAGTTTCAGGTCATATACAATTGTTCGAATACGCCCAACTTATCGATGTCTTTTGGGACACCTGTATGTTCCAGTCAGGGGTTTAAGCCTGTTTTTTTTAAATTATAAGCCACAATTTGAATCGAACTGCTCGTCGCGGAACTGTCACCAAGACTTGTCTTTGTTCTGATTGATGTTTGCGCTTTCAGTCTGTAGACTACATAAAGCTTAATAATTCGTGAAAAAGCGAGAACTTAATCGACCCTACTAAATCAGAATAACGCATGTGGACATGCGTGCAATAACAAAAACATGCATGTGGACATGCACGTAGTGAGATTACCTGCTACGGGCCATAGGGGTCCATCATGGAGACACTGACGTCGCTAGCCCTCAACTGTATAATTCGTTAGCTGGGTGGCACCCAAGAGGTGCTGTGAATACTTTTTTTTTACGTGTGGAAATCTTAAACTCTCATGGATGCTGCAATAAGGCCCCACCTCGCACCACACGTGGTCTGTGGTGTCGTAGACGTAGCGCGTGTCGTAGCCGTAGGCGCGGCAGAATAGGGCAAAGCAGTTGGCCCACTCGCCACATCGGCCGCGCCGCGTCCGTAGCAGCGTAGCAAGGTCGTTGTAGCGCGGGAAGCGGGCGCCGCTGTTCTCGCCCGTGCATTGCTCATCGGCACACTTGTAGATCTGCGAGGGGCGGCCATATTTTTTCATTAGATCAGTCACGGCCGTTAAGGCCCCTGTACACATTAGGCCAAAGCATTGGACCAATGTGTAGATGTTATGCGAAACGTCTGTGACAAATCGTAGTTGGCGCGAACGTTGGCCGGCAAGCCGAATTGTGTCGGTGCTTTGAGCACACATCAAAGGAGCGCCAATGCGCAATGAGCAGTACGCAGATGTGTGAACAGCTCCACACCACGAACGCAAACGCTTTGGCCCAATGTGTACAGGGGCCATTTTAAAAATAATAAATTACACATTCCCGGGCTGTCAACTTTTAGAAGCTGGCAATGCATTTTTACTACTCAGCAAAAATAACTAATAAATGCTTTTTATCAACGAGTATTAAGTAATTCAAACATGAGGATCTATTATAATACGTGAACAATTTTTAAAACATTATTTTACTCTAAATTTATTCTTAAATAAAACGATTTAAATGATATGGGTTTTCAGTGCTATTCTCTGCTATAAGATGTAATTTAAATTAAAAAGCGTCGGGCGCGTAACCCGGATGATAAAGGTTCAAATCCTCGGGGCGGCGAAGAACTTTTCGTCTATTCTAATGCAAATTTTTAAAATGATTTACCTCCACTCTACACGTTTCAGTCTCTGTATTCATGACGTCATTCTTGAAGTGAATAGTGGGCGCCCTACATCTCTCGCAGTTGGGCTTGTCCACCCAAGAGAAGAAGTCGTACTTGAACCAAGCCATCAGCTCCATCAGGAAAGCAATCTCATATGACAAGTCATTGCCCGTCAATTCACCTATCAATAAAAAACATTTTTATTTTTTATTCTATTTTATACATCAACTAGCAACTCATCATCGACTAGCAACTCATCATTGTTATAACAGTGTGTTTATCGTCTTTCATTGTGATAAGCTAATAATGTTTTTCACAGGTCCATCCGGGGAAGTAACACGACCTCACCGAAGATCGGCGTCGACGTCTTATACCTTTATGAAAAGGTGGCAACGCATCTGCAACCCTACGAGTGTTGCAAATGTCCATGAGCGGTGGTCATCACTCAACATCAGTTGAACCGCCAAATCGTTTGCCACCTTCTGACATAAAAAATATTGTCAATGAAATAATAAATTAACATTTCAATGGCAAACGCGACATCTACTGAGTTTTCAAATATTCACTGTAAAAATATCATTTGACAAAGTGTTGCCCAAGCATTCTCAAAAAATTTTACAGAACCAAAGTAGATAAAACGTCGAGGTTTGCGGGGGAGGCAGGGCCGGATTAAGGGGAGGGCAAACGGGGTAACGGCCCCGGGGTCACAATAGAGACTTCGGAAAAAAAATCAAATTCATAGTTACTACTAATACTAGTAAACACCTTTTCCTGGCAGAACTTAGTACAAACATGATTACATTAAATATTAACAGAAAGCAATGGAAAATAATTTGAGGCCCATTGGTCTTCGCTCCTTTGTGTCCCCGAGGCCCCCAGACCTCTACATCTGGCCCTGTGGAGGTTAAGCATCGGCGCAGGTTCGAATCTTGGCTGTGGCGAAAATGTTTTCGACCGTTTTATGTACGCGTGTTAAATTTGAAATATGTGACTAAATAAAACTATGTTTATGGCTTTATTGCGTTTATTTTTGGTTTTAATTCCCGACGTTTCGAACCCTTTACAGTGCCCGTAAACATAGTTTTATTTAGTAACGTGTAATCACGTAAATACAAGAAATTATTTTGATGTATGTGAATTAAATGTATGACAAGAAGATAAAGGTACTTTCGACAAACATGACAGGCTTAAATGATGAATCTTAAGTTTTTTTTATGTGAAAAGTTACCAAACGAGCAGACGGTTCACCTGAGTATAAGTGAATACCACCGCCCATGGACATCTGCTACACCCGAGGGTTCCGGATGCGTTGACAACTGTTTCAATATTGGGCTCCGGCGACCTCACTCACCAGACGAAACGCGAAAGTAATATACTTCCACTTTATGCGGGTCTTCTGTGAGGTCGTGGTACTTACCCGGACGAGCCTGCCCATTCGTGCAACAGCCGAGGCTGCTGCGTGAACCTACCACAGTGAGTTAAGTGTTGCATGTGCGCATGTGCATGTTCATGTGTGAGTTAATGGTCGATATTAGATCACAATGTTTGTATAGACAATACTGAATGAATGTATGATTAACCCAGCTGAAAATGCTGATTCATCATAAATATCCAAGTCAACAGTGGCTTTTAAAGTAGCCTTATGGAATAATAATTCCATAACAAATTTTGTCTTCAATTTAAATGATTTTGACATTTAATTTATATGATTTATACTATAAACAGGGGAAAAATAAATGAGATTTAATTACACTTTTGTTCAAGAGTATTGTGAACCTAATAAGAAAATTTTTGACACTGACGACCAGAACATCCGGATAGGATAGGGGATTTATCGTTCGGTAGTCAATAGATTTTTCAATGCAACCTTCAGAACTCCTCTATGCATGTAACCAGCAAGAATAAAGTTAGAAGATTGATATATGGAGAAATATAGTAACATGAGTGTCCTCTTATCAGCCATTTCATGACACCTAGATATTGGCAAAGATTTTATCACATTTTATGACATATCAACTGAATAACTCATCTCAAAAGACATATGGCGTATTTCTCAGAGAGCTTATTAAATTGTTATTACAAATAAATGGCAATTTAACAATACTAGTGGTTGTATGTATGCTGGTAAGGATATAACAATGGATGCGCCAAGCATTGCTTCAAATGCTAAATAACAATGTAGATAAAAGACGTTAAGATTTTCGTTGGTGTGGCAATCAGCCGTTTAGCTTAGTGGCTAAAGCGTCAGGCCGCGAATGCCGAACACGTGGGTTCGATTCCCACAGTGGAGACAATCTTTTCATACATTTTATAAAAATTTTAGTGTTTAATGTTAAGTTCAGAGATTAGCACTATAAAATTTAAATTTTGAAAGTATGTGAATTCCGCCAATCCGCAGTGGGGTTGTGTGGTGGACCCCTTTAAAGAGGAGGCCTTTGCCCAGCAGTAGGACATTTATAGGATGTTACTTTGTACTTATACTACTGTCCTCAAACATTTATAATTTTATTATTAAAACAGAATAACTGCTAGTATTTTCAACATTTTGTGTCTTCAAAGCAAGGTGACTACATTGCCACTAAGTAATAACAGTCTAGCATTGGGTAAAGAATGTATCCATACCAAATTTTAATTTTGCTTGATGTTGTCGAACCCTTTCTACTGTTTTTAGTTGCAAAACTACATGTGGTATTTGTTCTCGAGCCAGGGCTTGCAATTCCTCATCTTCATATTTTAATACTTCATTGAAAAGTGTTTGAATTTTTCGTACAAATCATTTGTTGTCACCTGCAAAACAGTGTTTGTTTAATTTTAGTTTTTATAAATCTATTGTTAACTATAGTAACAGCCTATACATGTTTCACTGCTAGGCACAAGCCTCTTCTCCACAGAGGGAATTTTTTGCAAATAGGGCAATTTTGAACTCCTATGGAGCAGTTCAAACGGCTCAAATTTTTTAAAGGAGAAAGTGTATAGATAATAATAGTGCATACTTCCAATGAGTACATATATAATTTCACATATGTTTCTCATTTTACTTTAATATAAAAAACACCGAGCTGTGATAGGTCAGTGTTTAAATGCTTTAAATTTGTTATAATCAAGCAACCCGAGTTCAAATCTAGGTGTCAGCACCTGTGAAATTATTAGTTTTGAGTGCTGACTTATCACCTGCTCTGAAGTGAAGGTAAACATCATGGGAAAAAATATTATCGAAATATTTTTTATTTTTTAATGGGAAAAGTTGCCAAACAAGCAGATGGTTCACCTGATGTTAAGTGAATACCGCCGCCCATGGACATCTACCACACCTGAGGGTTCCAGATGCGTTGACAACCTTTTGAAAACTTGGGCTTCGCTTCCACTTCACTCACCGACAAAACGTGAAAGTATTATACTTCCACTTTACGCCGGTCCTGTGTGAGGTTGTGGTACTTACCCGGACGAGCCTGCTCATTTGTGCAACAGCTGAAGCTGCTGCGTGGCCCTACCACCGTAAATATTCCAAATATTTCCAAATATGTCAAATCTGCCAAAATGCTGTGGAGTTGCATGGTGGACTAAGCCCTAATACCCTATACACAGAGGAGACCTTTGTGAGCCTTGTGAGACATGTGTAGGCTGATACTTAACCCACTGAATGCCAATTTAATATATAAGAACTGTGTTTCTTTATCATGTTACTTAATAAAGTTCAATAATTAACTCACAATATTTACTGGCTTTAATTTAGGCTTGTGGGCTTGTACTAAGTTTGACAATGGTTTAGACATGAACGTGGGTTTAGATCCATAGCAAATACTTATTTTCCTCTCAATGGCTGCCTTAGCCAATCGGAGCTTATCAAGAGTTTGTTCTTTTGGATATATATATTTATCTTGCACCTGAAAACAAAGAATCATGTACTTCACAATCATGACTTTTTTATTTACAATTTATTTGGAATGTTATCTTAAAGTTAAATAAAATTATTATTATTATAAACTATATTAATAAAATTACAATTTTTAAAAAATTGTTTTAGTTAAAAAGTAACATTAATTAGACTATAGGGTGAAGAAAATTACAGGTAAAAATTTGAAACGAATCGCCTTCGTAGGGGTCGGGGGGGGGGGGGGGGGGGGGGGGGGGGGGTGAAGTGGTGAGTTATCAAAATTACGTCCCATTTCACATTTCTAAAGATTTTTAAATTTTAAAAAATATGTAATTCAATTTTTACGCGTCTCCGGCAGAAATGCGTTAGAGTGCTTGGTATGAACCTCCTTAACCCCAAACTTACAGTGTACTTGAATTCGGGCGACTCGATTCAAAACCCAACCCAAAATCACCATTTATACTATGTATATTTACATATTGTTACAAAGACTTACCGCCTGAAATCCAATGTATTGGAGATAATCGCAAAAAGCTTCATGTTCCATTGCACTCTTTAGATCTTTACCTTTTAGGCTCCGCGCTTCAAAATCATGAGGGTTTTTCAAAATTTGCTCTATTTGATCTAAAAGATCATGGAGCACTTTATTGAATTTATCGAAATCACATAACGTTTGTTCAATCACTGCTAAACGCGCAACGTCCTCCATTGTTGTCTTTCTTATTTCAAGAATCTCTATATTGTGCGAAGGCTTTTAAATTTATTTAATACTCAATCAGTATTACATTTTACGATAACTTGTTTTCATTACACTATGTTGTGAATTTGTGAATGTGAATTGCGATCTGATGGATGACAGTGGATATTGATTTGTCATTTTATTCAACTTCGTTCAAAAATCTTTTTCAAAGATTTTTTTAATTTATTTAATCTGAATTTCGGACATTTTGTAAAGAAAATCTAAATAACTAATGTTATTGTTACCCTAAATATCCCATTTAGGGTAACAATAACATTAGTTATGTAACAGTAGTTATAATTATGTAATTATGCTTTTAGTGTACATATATTTGTATAATTTCTATGAATGCGTTTTTTAAAAAATTATCAAGAATATAAATCTTTTCATAAAAAAATGCATAAATTTGATTGGTTAAATTCTTTGTAATTGTTAAACAAAAATTAATAAGCGCTATACAAATAAAAATATTTTACGTTCCTAAGAAAAATGTTACTATGGCAGCAAATCAACATACAAAAGTACAATCAGAAAATGCTATCGAAACTTCCTAATCTGAAAAGTTTATGGGTGAAACAGTGAAAAAAAAAATACTTTAATAGTCAACAATAAGAATTGTAAGAAGCAAACAACAATATCGCTTAGTGCAGTCACTTTTTTGCAAAAATAAAATGTTTATCACAGAATCTAGCTCAAGAAACTGGTTGTTACACACCAGATATGTAAGGGGAGAGCATGCGATGTGTTCGGATTTATCTGATGAACTTCAAAAACAAGTGGCTAACAAGCACATATACGCGCATTTCATAAAGGTTTACCTATAAAATTTAATATATTTGTTCTGTCTTACTATGTATTGAATGAAAATTAGCCCTTTTGTACCCCTTGATCCGTGAGCTTGCACTTAAATTAAATATTGTACTTTATATTACTTTAGTATTTACTTTATATTACTTTAGTATTTAAACAAACGTTTTTTTTTTATTTATTGTATATGACAGCTAAAGATGACACTTTGTAGGGTCTGGTCTTAGCCGACTCCGGACATTTGCAGGAGGCTCTAGAACGTTTTCACAGCTGCATCAAATTGCAATCTCAAGATCCAGAACATCTTAAACAGGTTGCAAAGTGTTTGTAAGTATGTTATTTAAATAATATAACCTCTTGACCAATATATATTTTGGTGAAGGCAAGATGAAATCTGCATAGCACCAAACAGATTTCATCATATCATCATTTCAGCCTCTTTTAAGTAACTGCTGACCATAAGCCTTACCTAAAGACTACCATGAAGCATGATCCTGAACCAACCGCATCCATCGACTTCTCGCATATTGTCTCAGCTCGTCACTCCATCTAGTGGTGGAAGGCTCTTTCCAAATCCCTCCCGGATAGGAACCCTCCCGGACCCCAGCGGCGGCGGCCTAGACTGTGGCGTCACCACCCGCCATATCTCGGTTTCGATACTACTATCGAGAAGCTCCTATTGAGAATCAGACCACAGGGAAATTGACTCCACGTCGCACCCTCCTCACACGCATTCGAATTTACTCCATAAGCCCACTTGGAGCTGCTCTCCAAATGGCCTTTCACTAATGGCCGGTCCAGAATGAGTGCCTCATAGTCTCCCTCTATGGAGGGTGGGAGCGGTCTGAAGGGAAATGGAGATAACCTAGGCTACCTGCTTTGTAAGTAGGTTAATAATTCAGAAACAAATTTAAATTTAAATTCGAAATTTACTACACAGGCGAAGGAACTGCAAATTTTGATAACTCACTCACAAAATGGGAACCTATCCTCCATGGGTTGATTCGTCATGTCATGCCAAGTTGAATATTTAGTTCACTACTGAATTTGTGAAGAAACTCGTAACTCAAGTGATTAAAAGTATATTAAAAAACAATAACGAGTTAGGCAGAGATAACTAATATTTAAATTAAAAAGCTTTATAACAGCTTTCATATTTACAAACTTAGGTAAAGTTGTTGATTTAAATAACCTGTGATTTTAGATACCGTCAAGGTCGTTTCCGGTTGTCTTTCGAAGCTTACGTAGAAGCTGACAAACTGGAAAAATATCCTGATGCTGAAATTTACTGTGGCTTGGGTGAGTCGTAACTCGATACGTAAACACAGATGTTATCGTTAGTTGTACAGATGCGACATTACATGGTAAATCACATTTAATTTTTGCAATGGTTATGTGCAAATTATAGTGGGACTTCACGTGAATACGTTGAGATGTTTGAATACGGTTTTCTTATTTGTTAATAAAACTGTTATGGCATGTGCATGTCTACATGTACGTATGTTTTGTTTTTCTGTCAAAGCGGGTCATTCGAATCTAAACTCCAACGGTCGGGCTTTCCTTGCCCAACATTCGTATTGTTGTCTCGCCGTTATCATAATTATAACATAAATAAAACTAAAAAGGAGTATCTAAGTGGTTAACTATTTACTCGACGAGACAACAAAGCGCGAAAACATCTACTATACTTTGGTCTCCCTTGTCTATTGTCCCGGTTCTATTACGGACAAAAGCGAATGTAAGTATCAATTTGCAGATAAACCTGTCGCAAAATTGTTCGCCGCTGCCAGGATTCGAACCCGCGACTCCCGGACTAGGCGTCTAGACGCTCAAGCCACTGAGCTAAGCAGTCTATATCCTCAAGCTACTTTTACTTCTATTGCTTTTGTATCTATGCTCGGCGTTATCTAATGTGATTCCTTTACAGAAAGCATTTATCTCAAATCACATTTCTACAACGAACATTTGATAACTAGAAATGTCGTGTTTGCTGTTGAAATTTTATTTTAATTTAGTCCTTATCTTGGTAAATATGTAAGCGGAATGTTAACTGTCAGCCGAGTGCTCGTGGAACCTGGGCGATGTGGAGCGCGGAGTGGAGTGGGCGAGGGCTGCGGTGCAGGCGGGAGGCGGCGAGAGAGCGGGCGCTCTGTTGGCCAGGCTATACTTGGCCAGTGACCAAGTCGAGGCCGCCCTACAAGCCTACGATCAGGCCATTGCGTAAGCTCACCTGGACTTCAGTACAACCGCAATGTGGTCAATCATTTGAATGTAGCAAAGCCAACTAAATCAACTTTTACATGATATGATACAATCTATCCAATATAGTAACATCAGTTCAGTAACGTGCAAACAGCAATTTTAATATTTCATTATACAATGATGCTATTAGTATTGAGGGAAACAGAATATTCAAAGTTATAATTAAGAGCTTTCTTTTTGTGAAGTGTCCAGTTTGCCACCAAAGGCTATTTAATAAAAATGAATATACTGGCACTAGTGTGAATTTTCCCACTAGTGCCAGTATAAAAGTAAAGTAAAATAACAGCCTTTACATGTCCCACTGCTGGGCAAAGGCCTCCTCTATACAGAGGGTATCAGGGCATAGTCCACCACGCGGCCCCACTGCGGATTGGCGGACTTCACATATCTTCGAAATATATGTATTTTTTTCTTAAGTGCCAGTATATTATATTCTAAAAACATTGTAATGTTATTCTCATCCTATATGTAGAATAAGATAATTATGGTATTCTGTGGATTCTTATAGTGAATTAGGTTAGGTTCAAAGTAAGTCACAGATCCGACACAGAGAACGTAACCCCGATTCCATGCGGTCTTGTGGTACCTACCCCTAGAGTGAATATAAAAATGCGGAGCCAGAAGGTCGCGTCGGAGATCGTGAGTGGAGCAAGGCCAAGTGGGTGCGCAGGGGTGAGGTAGCGAGGGAACCGAGCCGGTGAGGTTCGCAGAGGAACTAAGGTCGGCCGTGTGAAGCAACACTCAGGGGCGACATAGCGAGAGTTTCAGCGAGAGTGCATGAAAGAATCTAACATTTCTGCCCGGCCGAAGAAAAAGTACCGCTTTTTTACATCTTATGTATTTACATATTTAAGTCCTATTACTGTTTTCCCCATTGGGTCTACCCAACGTTTTTGAACACCTGTCAATTTTACTATCTGATTAATAAAATTCGCAAAAAGTAACATATCCCAATGAGTATGCTACGTTACTTGTGGCATGTCTAATGTTAATTACATAAGACTTAAAACTCAATTTTCCTATGAGAGATATCTTGGTATGTTGCTTGTAAGGGAAATATCCTGTTTTTCGTAGTTACTGGTCCTGTACCAAAGCCATAACTGAACGCATAACCGCATGACACCAGCAAATGCGTTGCACATTGAATCGTTTATGTGGTATTACTGAGATAAAATTTCAATTTATAACAAAGGGCACATTCTCGACAATTAACCAACACGTCTCATCTACTTCTGCGGGTATCTTGAAATCCCTCGGTACTCTTGGTATCGGTACCTACCTTACTTTTTTAATACTATTCTACGGTCTGTTACAAAAAGAGGTACGTAGGAAGTCGAGATTTTCACGCGATGCGGATATCGTCTTAGCTTTAGTGGATAGAACGTCCAGACGCATAGCCCGGAAGGTGCATATACGAATCCTTGCAACCGAGACATTTTACGTTAGCTTCATCTACACATTTTTAAATTCCGTCTGTGGTATATGGGAAGACCGGCGTGAAGTGGAGGTGTTATACTTTTGCGTTTCGTCTAGTGAGTGAGGTGGCCGAAGCCCACTTTATTAAAAGTTGTTCAATGGTCGGTGGTTATGTCACTTTAAGTCAGGTAACCGTTTCAGCTCGTTTGCCACTTTCTCACATAAAAAGGTGCAAGCGTTGAAAAATGAAACCAAGCAAGATTACTAAATGAAACTATTTTTACGGAATTATCGCGTTTATTTTTAGTTTTAATTCCCGATCTTTCCATTGTTAAACAAGGCTACCGGCAATTTTAAAACTTTGTTAATTTTGTGTCCGGTTTACTACGCAGGTACTAATTGAGTCCTATATATGATAATTGAAAAAATAAAATTCTCAGTTGACGTTAGTTCATGGTCAGAATGAATGTGTTCTTGTCTTGTTGCATCCCGGTGAATCATATTGTTAAGAATAAAAAAAACATCTGTGCAAAATCATTATGAATGTGTATTAGAATATCTTAAAACCAAGAATTGGGCCAATTTGCATGATTGTTTTTAGCGTGAATATGTGATCGTTGGATATGTAAAGTTTTAAACTGTTTTAAAAGCAAATATTTCGATGTTCTGGTAGAAGAGTTTTTACCCTGATAATGTGGCTGTTATTATTAATTAACAATAACAGCCACATTATCGTATTACGTAAAACAATATCACAATTTATAATTTTCTACTTTTCGGAATTTAAAACATTTAAAAAAAATTTAGAAAATAACTTTTCTTGTATAAATGGCTCTAAGCCGATGTCGATTGATATAGTTTTATAGTTATAAAATTGATTCATAGAAATAACTAAAAAAAAATACCGCCCGAACAGGGACTTGAACCCTGGACCCTTGGATTAAAAGTCCAATGCTCTACCGACTGAGCTATCCGGGCTATATTCAGTTTGCTGAATTTAATATATGTGTACATTTCTTTTGAGAAACAAAATAATATTTATAAAAGAAAAGCGAAGATAGTAATATGTAAATTTTATAACTAATTTCAATATTTAGTGCGAGTCGGCACTGAATATGAGACTTAAAATATTGCTTAAATCAATAATGAGAGCGCTTGGAAGACAGGAAAATGATTTCCTTCTACAATATTTTTGCGAAAAATTCGCATTTTAAGAAATGAATAAAATGGAATTATATCAACGCTGTTATTTTGTCAGTAATTTTATCGCATGGCTATATTTTAACGTTTCTGTCAGAGTTTTCTTTACTTTTTTGTTTATTTGTCAGTTGTTGCTTGTCGAACGTCACATTAATGGTTTTTCATGGTTTAAATTTTATTGTTCTCTTTTTAAATATTCTTCTTCTATTTAGTTAAGTAAAGTTCCAGCCTGTACATGTCCCAGTGCTGGGCAAAGGCCTCCTCTATACAGACTGTATCAGAGTATAGTCCACCACGCGGCCCCACTGCGGATTCGTGAACTCCGTCACATATCTTCGAAATATTATTTTGAGAATATGCAGGTTTCCTCGGGATGTTTTCCTTCACCGCTGAGCACGTGATAATTCAGCACTTAAAATTGACAATTTCATTGGTGCTGGCACCGGGGATCGAACTCAGGTTGCTCGAGTATATTAAATTAAAGGCGAGCGCCCGGACACTGAGCTATCACGGCTCTTACGAGCGATCGTTCTAACTGCTTTTTCCGCATGCTTTTCTGCAATTGTTGTTATCTGTAATTTTTTTTTTATGTGGAAACTAGCTGTGCCTGCGACTTCATCCGCGTGGAATTTAAAATAAATAAAATTTCTAATATCAAAGTAACCCAAGTTAATCCTTATTACATCAGCTATCTGTCAAAATCGGTCCAGCCGTTGCAGAGATTAGCCGGAACAAACAGACCGACCGACAAAATTTGTAACAAATGTTATATATAAAATAAGATATTGTTAAAATAAGTTAAAATAAAATATAAATACTGTTAAAATAAGATATTATAATTGTATACTTCTGATGCAAAGTGTATAATAGCTAGTGGTTAAAACTTTATTGGCCCACATATCTGTGTGTAATTGTACTATTTATTTTATGTAACTGCTGTTTGTTTTCCTAATCAATAAAATAAACATAAAATAAAATAAAATGTACCGTGTATGCATCCATATGCATTAAGTAAAAAGCGGTTATTTTAATATTACAAAAAGACACTCCGATTTTAATTATCTGTATAGAAAATGAGATTCTATAGACATTTAAAAAACCTGTTGGCTTGAAGATGTGCCGCCAACCTTTCAATGAGGCGGACCCAGGTATAAATATTTAGGTAGATTTCATAACTGTCTTCAGTGGACTTCTTCGGACGAGCTGGCCATTTGTGTATTAACAGAAGCCGCTGCGTAAAAAGAGAGTTTGTGTTAATGTAATGGAGCTACTGATTTGGTTAAAAACATCAATGAAATACATACTACATTATAAAGATAACATAAAGTATACAGGGAGATTTTTTGAGAAGTGCCCAAGTTTGCACAGGAGGTTCAGACTCGGTAGTATAATCGTTTATTGAAATAAAAAACAAAGTTTTTTTTCCAAAAAAAATGCCATTCTATTCCCTAAATAATTACTTTAAAAAACTTTTAAGTTAAACGGTTTTATTTTATGTTTTTTTTTTGTTAAATTTTTTTTTGTTAATATTGTATTGTCATCTAAATTAAATGTGTGTACCAAATTTCAGATCAATCTGACAACGGTAAGGTGCTTAAATTTCAATTTCTAATTTTGACCCAAATAAATAAACAAACAAATTCCGTACGGGTCGAGCTAAATAAAACCGTTTAAAAACAGAACGTGTTGACAATGCGGTAGTCATTCGTAAATTTACGAATTTTTTAATTTATTTTTTATACCTAATTTTTTCTGTGCACGAACTTGTGTGTGTGTTAGTTATGAATGATCGGGCGTAAAATAAAAGAGTTGCATATAAATCACGCAATTTTTGACATAAGTTCAAATGAATGTAATGAAAATTACTTACGAGTGATTTTAAATTATGTCTAGAATTTATTTAAAAAAAATGGATACACTTAGAAAAGCCACCCTCTATAAGTTATTTTCCCATAAACAAAATACAATTATTAAGTTTCATGTAAATTATATTGATTGAATATTAAGTACTCATATATCAAAAGTAATTATCAGTATTTTTTTCCTACATTTTAATTAAAGAAAAACCGGCCAATTGCGGCTCGGACTCGCGCACGAAGGCTTCCGTACCATCCACATTAATATATTAATATATTTTATATTATAAATGCGAAATATATTAATATATTAGAAATATATTAATATATATATAAATAAATATATTAATATATTAGAAATAATAAATATATTAATATATTAGAAATATATTAATATATTATAAATGCGAAAGTAAATGTCTGTCTGTCTGTCTCGCTTTCACTCAAAAACTACCGAACCGATTTAAATGAAATTTGGTACACAGGGAGGCTATATTTTAATTGGAAAAAAGTGTTCTAATGAGTTGAAAGATATTTATTTAAGGACTTCAACGCGAGCGAAGCCGCGGGCGAAAAGCTAGTTATTTATAAAAACGGCAAATAAATCATGTCCGTACTGTGTCTGTTTTTGTTGTTATAGCGGCCAAATAAATATATCCCAATCTGTGAAAATTTCAATTGTCTAACTACCACGGTTCATGAGATAAACCTAGTGACAGACATACAGACAGCGGAGTCTTAGTAATAGTGTTCCGTTTTACCCTTTGGGTGTATTTTACCTTCATGGGACGGTGTATACGCTTCTACAACAAAATCCCAGTTAATGTGCAAAGCCTATCTATTAACAGGTTTAAGAAATTTATTAAATAAAAACTCTTTAAAAAGGGTTATTATAAATATAAATGAATACATTAACGATAATAACCCCTGGGAAAGAGATGATCGCTCCTAAGCTATTTCTAAAAAATAAAAAAAAATATGTACTGTATAACTATGTATTTTTTGAGTAAAAAAAAATGACAAAAAAGAGGATACCTACGGAGTTTCTTCCGCCTGTTTCTTCTCCGTTAGAGGAACCTCATTACGAGACGGCGGTAGATTTAAAAAATGACTATCGATAAATGAAATGTATATTTCTTATTTCGACGAATAAATGATTTGAATTTGAATTTGGTGCGGAACCCTAAAAATCGCCGACTACAGCGCGGGAGCGTGCAGCGCTGACACCCTAGCGGCCGCTGGGGCGCTACGGCTGCGCTCTGGTGACCCCCGCAGCGCGTTCCAACTTCTGGGGGCCGCGTTGGCTCAGCAACCCAGCCAGCACGGGGCGGCCCTGGCGCTCGCAGCGATGCTAATGCAACATGGGGACGAGGAGGCGGCCCTGGCGCGTCTCAAGGTGGCCCTGTCCGCCCACCCCGCTTGCGTAGCGGCGCATTCGAACCTGGGGCTAGTTCTGTTGGCGAAGAGGAAGTACGTCGCCGTAAGTTGCAGTTGATGTCGTGTTGTTTATTTTCATTATTTCAGAGCGGGAACATAACCAAGCTATATAAGGATTGTAAGTTGCAGTTGATGTTGTGTTATTTTCATTATTTCAAGCAGGCGTACACACCTAAGTGAGACCCTGAGCGGCAGTCAAGGGGTCTGTCGCTCAATATGGGGCTCGTGACGTGCCAATAACCGGCACAGCACACAACATGAAGTAATGGGGGCCTAAAAAGGCCATAGTGGCGCCGGGGTCGCGGAAGATTGCGTCCACGTGTTCTCGTGTCCCCTCGTCTCTGTCGCATCGTGGCCGATGCGACAGAGACAGGTGCAACGTGGGTTTTTTAGTGGGTACCAGAGTTTCTCACCGGGACTCCCACATACCCCTGTCACTCCCCCGATCCAGTGGCAGGGGATACATAAAAGATTTTTCCCACGGAAAAAAAGGCGAAAACATCTAAGCTATATAAGGATTGCTGAATATAATTGCAATTCCATTCTTACTGAAATGTGATTTAGTGACTGTCGATTCAGCATTGACGTTTTAACCGGAAATTGTAATGTAAGAGTAAATAAATCATTCCGACATTCTACATCTGGTACTCTAATCGACCATACATAGTTTGATTAGTAATAGGCCATCTTTATAATTTTAGTTTAATTAATTGTAATTTTAAAATTATAATGTTTTTTTTTTCTAAACTATCGGCTGTGGCTAACGTTATTTGCTTGAGTCAATGTCAAGTGATCACCGCCACATCTGCATCATTTGAGTGGTGGCAGATGTTTTGCCGACGTTTAAAGACGGCGGACCCCAGTCCTCACTTCCACTTCACGCTGGTCTTCTGTAAGGCCGTAGTACTTTTACGTGGTTACTTATGAGACTCGTCTTCTAGGCCCTGACGTGTCTCCAACGCGCTGCGTGCGCGGCGCCCCTCAGCGCGCGGGCCGCCCACAATCTAGCAATAGGGCTGCTAGCATGCAAACGCCCGGTCTCCGCTTTTTGCAGGCTGGCAACCGCCGCCTCGCTACAGCCGAAGCAGCCCTACACAGTAACTACGCATTCCAACAAAATTATCTTGCAGTATGTCCAATAACGGTCGCTATATTAGGTACATTTATCTGTTGGCGTATTACAATTTATGCGCGCAAGGGATTCGCGAAATATGCGAAACGGTTGAACAACACCGATCGACAGTTGAAAATTATAAAACTCATTGACGATTTTTTCATACTCAACAGAAGAAAGCAAACATAGTAACTGATTATCACCACGCAATGACATCGACATTAAAATACTCGGCCCCGGTAGGTACCTCACTCACCAGATAAAATGCAAATACTTCTTCTTTATGACTCCAGCTAGACCGGCCCATCAAACCGCTGAGTAGCAAACGTAACCTTCACTTGAATATAGGAAATCGTTTAAAAAGTTCTATTTTATCAAGCGAAACACTCAAATCTTGCGTCGTAATGAATTCCTTATCCGTAACCTAACTTTCCCTAGGTGCTTAACTGTGTAGGGTCTTTAACGTGGACCTACCACGCAACAGTTTCGTCTGTTGCACGAATGGTCGGGCCCGTCCGGGTTAGCACCACGGCCTCACAGAAGTGAAGTATATTTGTCATACTTATGCTTTTCGTCTGATGAGTGAGGCAGCCGAAGCCCACTTTATTAAAAGGTGACAACGCATGTACAACCCTACGGGTGTTGCAAATTTCCATGGGTTATCACTCAACACAATGTGAGCCGCCAGCACGCTTACCACCTTCTCACATAAAAAAGTGTGTGTGTACTTATGTACACTCGTTAGAGGTTATACTTCTTTAGCGTAACAAAATAAAAATCTTTTCAAAAAATGTATCTTTCCCCTTATTCTATGTTTGTAGAAAACACGACACTAACAGTAGAAAAAAGATATTTAATACATTGAAAGTTTTATTATAACGCATTATCTAGTTAAATAAGGTTTATTTAAATATCACACAAAGTAAATGTCGTGAATACAGTTGTCAGTTCTCAAGCAAACATACGTAGAGGTCCAGCTAACTTCAGGGCGTCGGTTTTTCGTGACGGTGTGCGCGCGCATCGTGAAAAGTTACTCTCATCGTTTTTCCCCAACGCGCCAAAAGAAGTGTAACTTCAAAAACAGGTGCTGCTGCTGGCGGTGGCTCTGGAGCGGCTGGGAGACGAGCGGGCTGATGCGGCGTACTCCAGGGCTATGGCGCTCCGCCCCCAAGACCCTCTCCTGGCCCTCAACGTGGCGGCGAGGCATGCTAGAGCCTCCCGCCTTACCGAGGCGGCATCAGCGGCCGCCCACACCGCGCGGCTGCTCCTGATAAACCCTGACCCTCAGGTTATATAATTATTAACCTTTCTCTTTGTTGGGTCGTCAGCTTTCAACAGAGCAAAAGCTGTGTAATGCTTCGTCCGTGGGAAGTTTAGCCTTTCCTCGAACACGGAGCCCGCAGAAGGTTGTGTTTTCCACAGGTTTTATGGCGGGATTGGTAGGTATATTATTATATTATATCAGTATATTATTAATTCCAGTGACGTCAATCTCAGAGTGAGCTTTTGTTTCTATGGAAATTTTAACAATGCTTGACGTCATCTAGTATGCTTCATTTACAGCAAACACACTTTCTCAAACGAAATTTTTACAAAGAGTATTTGAAAACTAAAGGCCTCGCCTTTGGCTATTGATATCTAAATAGTGTTTGTTTTTAGTAATAGTTCTTGCACTTATAATTGAACATGAAAAGTGTAGATAAAACTGACGGAAATTATTTCGTCACTGCCAGGATTCGAACTGGTGCCTTCCGGGCATCCGGACACTAGCTCACCGTGGAAATTTTTCAACATTCTTTTTATTGCATTTTTAATAACGCTTGTCGTTATCTAATGCATTTTCTTCGCAGAGATCACTTTAAGTTTTTGCAATGAACATTTCGGCACAGCTGTCCAGCTCTTTATCGGTGCTGCTGAGCCAGTTGCGCGACGCTGGGGTCGAAGTGACGGAGTTGTCTGATGCTGCAACGGAACCTGCCACCGCATCCGAGCAACCGGACACGCCGGACGACGACCGATTCGCACCAGACGAAGTTTAGATGTCCAGGGATTTTGCACACTCGCCCGTACGCTACACGTAAGCTCGGCTGTTTCTAGAATTAGTTACACATATAGTGTAGCATGTGCGAGGATACTTTTTAGCATTCAGTTTCGTTTTTCTTCTAGGATAGAGCTTCTAGAAGCATGCAATATCGCGGTCTAAAAGATCTAGTTCTAAATGAGAAGAGAATGGGCAGGCCCGTCCGAGTAAGTACCACGACCTCACAGAAGACCAGCGTAAAGTGGAAGTATGACAAATACTTTCGCGTTTCGTCTAGTGAGTGAGGTAGCCGGAGCCCAATTTTCAAAAGATTGTCAACGCATCTGTAACCTTCGGGTGTATCGGATGTCCCTGGGCGGCGGTATTCACTTAACATCAGGTGAACCATCTGCTCGTTTAGCAACTTTTCACATTAAAAAAAAATCTTTAAACAACGGATCTTGATGCGGTTTTAATACTAGATAGTGATTCAAAAGGAAGGTTTATGTGTAAAATACATTGCACCCGTGCGAAGCCGGGGCGGGTCGCTAGTTTGTCATAAATAAACTAACCATATAAAAAACCGGCCAAGTGCGGGTCGGACACACGAACGAAGGGTTCCACTATCTATAAAAACGGCAAAAAATCATGTCTGTTGTATGGGAGCCCCCGTATTTTTTATTCTGTATTTGCTGTTATAGCGGCAACAGAAATACATCATCTGTAAAAACCTCAACCGTCTAACTATGAGTCTTCGTTCTCTTCGTTCATGAGTCTAAGCGGAGTCTTAGTAATAGGGTCCGGCTTTACGCTTTGGGTACGGAACCCTAAAAGGAAATAATAAGACTGCATTATACGTATAATCGATGTATGGTTTTGGTCCTATCGGAGGTCCTTCATCAGGGTGAGTTCCAACTATCTTTTCCATGATAACGTCCTGCCTTTGACAAGTCATTAAAAATTACAAGCAACAATTCAAAATTGAATGTGTTTACGAACGTCATAATCTTATATATAAAATTTTCGTGTCACAATGTTGGTTACCTTACTCCTCCGAAACGGCTTTACTGATTTTTACCAAATTTTATATGCATATTCAGTAGGTCTGAGAATCGGCTACTGTCTATTTTTCATACACTAAGTAACATTTTTTTTTTAGTTTATGGACAATTTTTTTTGTTTTTATTTTTTATGATACAGCATACAAAAATACATGCAACCCTAAATTTTCATCCCTCTACGCAGACGTAGTCGCGGGCAGCAGCTAGTAAGGTATAAGATTTATTCGCATCGGATAAATTATACAATAACAATATCAATATAATTTCGTAGTAGGTGTAACTATAAAGTTAGCTATTACTATAAAGTATAAAGGTAATTTTTAGTCGATAGGTGCGATTACAAATGGGCTATAAAATACATATTAAAAGATAAAGCAAACTTGAAATGTGCGGTTGCTCAACATGTTTTAAAACGATCAAATATGCTGCTGTCAGGAAAGTTCGCGTTTATTATTTCTATGAGTCTGGTAAGATCTAAGCAATAATTAAAATTTAGGATTCCGTAGTTTATTAAAGCTTCATCGAACGCATCGCATGTACATTTAACAAACCTTTGCACGATGGCCTTAAATTATATAGAGTAAAAGAAGTAACTAATAAAGCTTAGATGTTTTTATTACTTTATCTACAATTTATGCATGGTTTTTCATTTATCAATAGCACCTTGAATAAATTGCTAAATTTGTAAATTATTTTGTTCAACCAACATTTACCAACGGCGTTGGCGGGAAGTTTCTCTGCCATTTTGACTTTTGACACTTCGTTTTTAATTTGTAAAGTATTAAGACGTGCCTTTTTTATCTTACCTGAATTTAACATCAATAGAACTATGCACACCTTTTTTTTTAATGTGAGAAAGTGGCAAACGAGCTGGCGGTTCACCTGATGTTAAGTGATAACCGCCAGCCCATGGACATTTGCAACACCCGTAGGGTTGCAGATGCGTTGCCACCTCCTAATAATGTGGGCCCCGGCTACCTCACTCGCCAGACGAAACGCAGAAGTGCGACACTTCTACTTTACGCCGGTCTTCTGTGAGGTCGTGATACTAAACCGGACGGAACTGAGCATTCGTGCAACAGTTGAACACTGTTGCGTGGTCCTACCACCGAGCCTTTTCTCCTTTGGGTTGTATAGAGCACATTTGTTTTTATTACATTAGTTAATTTAGTGCGCATATTTTACATATTTACGTTACGAAACTCAAACATATACTTAGGTACTGTTCGTTTTAACACCATGGACTAAATTAAGCATGTGAGTCAACCTCAAAAAAACCAATCTCATATTCCGTTGCAAATATAACAATGTGAGACTGCATAAACGAAGTACTTATAGTTTAACCAAATGCCACATTTAAAATTCAGATTGAATGCACCGAACGCAAAGCTGGTCTGGTCGTTCTGCCGCCATTGGTCATTGGCTATGAGGATCTGATTGCTGAAGATACGCAGGAGAGCATCAAAAAATTGGACACAAGCTTTCTGGACACGGTAATGGAAGGCGACACAATGGATACGGAAGTTCTAAAAGGAAAAGGGAACGTCAACGGCGCAAATCGTATGCCACGTAATGAAATTGGCTTTGGTCCTCAATGAAAGAGATTGGGTTCGGTTTTCATAAAGTCTATTACAGTCTGTTTATGAGGATTTAAATAGAAATATGAAATGAAATAGACGCGCAGATTTTCTCTTTTACCTAAAATGTGAAACAGACTAAAAATAAAGAGTAAGTTTCTAAAATTTTTCACCCTCAAACAGTAATAGACAGAAGTGTAACTAGCACAAGACGTTTTATATAATTAGGCGTAAACAACATTTATTAGATAATACTTATTAATTTTAAGTATAAACTAAATTATTTTATAAAGTTATACATTAAAGTTAAAGCAAAAAAGTTTAGATTGTATTTTCAATCGTTTTAATTATATAATCTATGGATGATTAGAAATACTGAAGTATTAAAACGCAATCATATTCGAAAAAAAAAATATATTCAGATAATCATTTCCGATAGGTACCTAAAACTAACAGCAAGCATACGTTTAAGGTGACAACTGCCCGGTGAATATTGGTATGTCCCTAAAAACAACAGCGAAACTGAAACACTTGTTACAAATCGACGGTGCCTTGGCATCACTACTTAACTTCGTTTTGTCCACTGGTAAACCTGTAAAATTCGATATTTCAGCAAGGACAATTGAATTATTCAACAACAGACATTATTATTTACAAATTTTGTAATATTCATTAATTAATTATGTAAAATTGGGAACGTCGTCAATGTTGAATGTAAAATAATCTATGAAATAATAGGTTGAACAATGTGCAGTGTACCTATTGTTCGATAGAATCTACAATGTTTATTTTCGAATGTAGTGAAGTTTTATTTACACCATCATAAACGTGAGGCGGTATCATAATCTCGTAAAACTTTAAAATAAGTGTGTGTTACCGTGTTGTACCTTACAACTGTTAGGTTGTTTGCGGTGGTCAGATACGATAATATACGAGGTGTCGCAACTTTAATCGATACTGTTGCGTGGCCCTACCACAGTGAAAACTGTTGCGTGGCCCTACCACAGTTGTCTGGTGAAGGAGGTAACCAGGGCCCGGTTTTTAATGGATGCCCAATGTATTACTTCTGCATGTACCACATAAAAGAACCCCTTTTCCTCTACTGACGGGTGCCAAACCTGTCGCCGTCCTATGTCATACTTGTCACTATACTTACACGTCAAAACCTTAATGTCAACACCGCCTCCGTCGACTCTCACTTCGCCATATTGCGTCGCCGACGTATGTTTATTAGAGTCCTGAATGAGATTACAAAAAATAATAATACTAATCATCTCACTAAGGTGTGGTCGAGCTGGCTAGGTTTTATAATAAGAGCTATGTTTATACAATGCCCTCCTGGTTCAGTGACGGACGTCCAGGTGCGGACAAAGAATGGGCAGTCTCGTCCGATTAAGTACCACGGCCTCGCAGAAGATTGGCGTGAAGCAGAAAATACTTCAGCGTTTCGCCTGGCGAGGAATGATGTCCATCCGTTTCTAGGTTGGGCAAACTACTAAAATCGCTCGGATGGCAAGCGAGGTGCCAATGGATGTTCTCGGCACTAGTTGACGTACTGACGCTTTGCCAACCTTAGTGAGTGGTACACTCACTAAGGTTGGCAAATCCTTGAAGAATTAGTGACTTACGTAAGCCATTACAAGATTTACGTAACCCGCCCAAGGACATGAATCTTTTTGCCTCACACCGGTTCTGCGATGTCGTGGTACCTCTGCAGTCGAGCCGGCAAATTGGTGCAAATTAAAGACTACTATGTGGTTCTTCTACAGAATTGAAACAAATTATTCGGAAGGAAAAACATTTTTTTTAATGCGCCCAGGTGCATCTCGTAGCAACTGGGTGTAATAACTAAAATACCATAGATCATCAACGTGCGGATTGTCTATGTATATTCAGCGACTTTTATTTAATACCTGTAACTTTTGCATCGATTGAAATTCGAACGTTGGGATAGTTTGCTCGCAAGTCGCGGCGAACGCGGGCTGTATACTGCTCAGGGCAGATGTCAATCCCCCTTCGAAAAGTTTGGCCGCCAAGTCTTTCAAAACGTCACTAACGTTGGGCACTAATATCGCCAGCACTACGTCATCGTCGCTCGTCGGCACCACGAGGACCTTAAATCGAAGAGGTTCTCTGCTGCAGAACTACTTTTTGTAGTACAACTTCGTAAACCTTTGACTCTGATTGTATTCTGTATTCGTAGAAGCCGGGTTGAGCATCGACACTGACATTCATTGACAGCTGTTCGGCAGCTAGAAGCGGTAGCTAGTAGCGGTTTGGTCATCATTCTCTAGGTTTGAGAATTCTCAAAGTAAAAATAAAAATTGATACAGTTTGATTATTCTACCAAGCACTGTTTAATGGCTGCAATATTAATTTTAAATATATCCAAGACTGTCGGATACAATACTTGAGTTAGTTCAGTCCGTGCGCAAAATATCAAATAAAAATCTGCAAAAAACGTGATTCTTTACCTCAAATAAAGAGCAATTTCAGTCAAAGTTGGAGATTTTGTATTGTATATAAATGGGATCTTAAGATAAAAATCTTTAATAATGACGTGGGAGGACCCCAAGGATTAGAGTGTACAAATAAATTGAAAATGGATTTGTGAACTTATTTTAACTCGAGGATTAGTAGTATGTAGCGTTAGAATTTATAATGATCGCCTTAAAATATACCATGTTTCAATAAGCAATAAGGGGAAATAACATTAAAATTATATTAAAATTATATTTTGACGAGATTATAATAAGTACCTGGAGGACCGAGCTTTGCTAGGTTTTTTTGGTAAATCACGTATTTTGGAAATAAAAAAAAATAGAAAATAAAGAAAGCAATGATCTGGAATAGAAAAAAAAAATAAAAAAAATAACTGTGTAAAAGAGTATCGTGATACGAACCGCGGCCGGCTTTTGGGGCCGCCCGATTACCGACCGAGCTATTATAACATTTTTTTTGCGGCGAAATTTATCGTCATATTCAAATGATATTTTTCATTCCCTGAATACAGTGATAAAATGACATTTTCTAAAACTGAAACCTAGCTAGATCGATTTTTCGCCCCGGAATCTACGCACATGCTAAATTTCATTAAAATCGCTGGAGCCGTTTCCGAGATTCCTATTATATATATATATATATATATATATATATACAAGAATTGCTCGTTTAAAGGATAAGAGATAATGTAATTCGCATTGTAAATTTTTTTTGTTCATAAAAGGAGGTTATAAATTAAAACTACTTACCCTTGCCTCATACTTGATATCATCTGTATAACTGAAGGAATTGTAAACTGTTACAAGATGATTCTCGGATTTTTTCCAAGTCCCCTAAAAGGAGATTAATATAAAAATTCACACTATATATGTGGATCTATGAACCACCATAGCATTATAATACCTTGTACATACAAACATTAGCCAGGAGACCTGTTACATCGGACTGCACAGTGTTTTCTAGATTCAATTCCTTAAAACAAGCATATTTTTTTACCTGCAAATATAAGATAAAGTTTTGTTTGCATATGATAAAACACTATGGAATGATAAAATTATAGATTTTGCCAGTTTTGAAATGGTCATAAACAAAGTTGTGTCATTAAGAGTTTAATGAAAAATGAAAACAATCTTGGCTCAACTTTCAATAACGATTAATAATTGAATTGGAACTTTAACATATTGAAAGCCAAATTATTCCAAAATGGAATTTATGTATTTAATGTGTTGAGGTGTTGGAGATCCTTTATTTTTTATGCGAGTAGGCAGTAACCAAGCTGGTGGTTCACCTGAAGTTGAGTAATAACTGCAGTCCAAAGACATTTGCAACACCCATAGGGTTACAGATGTGTTTCCACCTTTTCATAAAGCCGGCTACCTCACTCACTAGATGAAATGCAGAAATAAAACACTTCCACTTCACGCCGGTCTTCTGTGACGTTGTGGTACTTACTGGGGCAGACCTGCCCATTCATGCAACAGAAAAGACTGTTACGTGGACCTACCACAGCTAAATGAATGTAACTAAATTGTTATTACTTATTTGGCTATACAATACATTTTATTGAAATACATTTGGCTATACTTTATAAAAAAAAGAATGAAATATGGATCATCTTTGGATTTGGTAATTGTCGTTATGGGTATACCATCCAAACACAATAACAACAATTACCAAATCCATTTTCGAAAAGAGAAAGACACAAGAAGATCTGCATAAAACATTTTTAGAATTACCCAGTTTTTAACAGCCATGAGAACTTCTTCATGACCTTTGAATGTCGCTGTTTGCATCTTTAGTGTACACATTTCCAATATACTTTGGTCATTTGTTGTAAGAAGAAATAATTTATTTTTAACTAAGAACTGTTCTTTATTTCTGAGGATTTTACACATCTGTAAAATTAAAATGGTCAATGGCACACTCATTTTTCTTAAATAGCATGCAATTCTCCATCATTTTTTTTCCGTTGGTCTCTGTTTCTCTATCGGTTAAAATATAGGAAAACGCGCATTAATAATGACCATTTATATAAAAAAAAGAAGTAAAGTAACAGCCTACACATATCCCACTGCTGGACAAAGGCCTCCTCTATACAGAGGGTATCAGGGCATATCCCACCACGCGGCCCCACTGCGGATTGGCGGAATTCACATATCTTCGAAAAATATTTAGTAGTTATCATTTTCCAAAATATGCCAGGTTTCCTCACGATGTTTTCCTTCACCGCAGAGCACGTGATAAGTCAGCACTTAAAGTTAAAAACTTCATTGGTGCCGGCACCGGGGATCGAACTCAGGTTGCTCGAGTATATTGAATTAAAGGCGAGCGCCCGGACACTGAGCTATCATGGCTCTGACCATTTATATAATTACTTACATTCATTAATAATACAATCATTTTTAAAACCTTTTCCTAATAAATTGCCTACTAATTTTAGGGCAAATGGTGATGATATCCAATTCATAGCCATACTTTGTTCAAGCCTATTTAGTAACCTGAAAAAAATATATAATATTTACTTTTTCTACCACCAGGTAAAAGAAGTTTTATAATGCTTACATTATTTATTCACGGACTAGGAACATAGTGATTTATTATAACACTATTCGTTTTTTTCTAGTGCGTGCATTAATTATACGCAAAATACTCTAATATTTAAATTGGAAGTAATATAAAAAAGATAATTCAAAAATTATTTTCCATGGACGTATATTTTCATTACCTTAAAAATGTTTCTACTGTTTCAATGCATTTATCATAACTATTTTATTTATTCTTTTTTCTATGAGGTAAATAAAATTACCAATTCCATGTTTTTATTCGTAAAAAAATTAGAACCAGCAGCTGATTTCGACTTTTGTCATTGCTTGACCTGACTTGACACGATCATTGATAAAAGAATATAAGAATAGGAGGATGTCACGTTAGGTCACGTGTGCTGAAGCCAAATGTTTCCCTAAAATGGCGTCGACTCCGCCCACAGCAAATAGTGTTGTTGTTTTTAAGTCCATATTGATATCGATATATTAATACCCATATTGATATCGATGACACGCAAAAATGTTATTAACTTTGCGCACTTTTCTATTAATTCTCATTTGTCACTACTAGTTGAAGGGTAGGAGGTAAAAACTAAAAAAAAATAATATTATCATAATGTAAGGGTAATGTAAACTAAAAGCGGTATTTGCTATCAGCATTATAACATAAAATAGGTTATTTTCATAAATAGTTAAATAAAATTTAAAAAAATTTAGTATATTGATTAAAATCGTTTATTCATGGCGGAATAATATTAATTTTGTTAAAATGTTGCGCTTTGATATATTTTCTAGTGTTTTTTTCCATGAAACTAAATTAAGTAATTGACTAAATTAATTAACTAAATGAACTAAATTATGTTTCTTCAAATCGTCAATAATCGTTTGGAAAGTCAACACCTTCTGCTTCAGTCTGCGGCACTTCTGACTGAGTATCTTTATTTTCCTTTGCTGTAACTTCACTTGTCTGCATAACTTTTGGACTTTTTTTGGTTGCTTAACTGCCATAGCCTAAAAATGAACGTGAAATTACAATAAACATTTTATTTTATACATAAGGTTGGGGAGATAATTAACAGGGGAGATTCGTGCTCTGTAGTCGAACATACATAGGGTTGATGCTATTAAATTTCATCAAAATATATACTGAAATTAACGTATTGTGCCAGCCTTTAATAAGTAGGATACCAGTTAAACATGATGATGCTATTGTTTAAATAGAAGTTAGAGGAAATACTCACCATAAGAGTTTTAACCTGAATTTGTCGTCTTTTGATTGAGTCTGTTTGTCGTATCTATATCCATATTTGTCGGGTGAATACAGACGGGACTAACGTCAATATCCATTGGTACATGCTGCAAATAATTAAAAAAATACATTATATATATATATATATATATATATATATATATATATATATATATATATATATATATATATATATATATGTTTGCTTTTATTTTTATGAACCCAACCAAATAAAAAAATATCCAAAATAAAAAGCAAATAAAAATCCCCATAATAATAATAAATCAAAAAGCATTTGAACGGATTCACCAGATCAAGTCAAATTTCTCTCACTTCTCAAAACTTTTAATCTTAAATGCAACTCAATATATAAGAGAGAATAATTAATAAATAATTAGTAAAGAATAATTCCATTCTGTGCTGTGAGATAACATTAAAATAAATTATACATTTGTGAGTGCTGTAATATTACATCATAAAACCATGAGAGTATTAGTGTTCTGTGACCACACCCAATGTTCTATTTACTCAAATTGCCTCAAAATGTTTGGAGCATATTTTGAGGACTCTTGTAGGTTTTATATTTTCAATGCCTATGTTTTCCATCCGTAATTTGCGGAGAGCCTCATTTTTCAGAAATCTAAAAAAATTAAATATTAATTTAATACATTACAGAAGACTTATTATCAAAAACACAATTATACTTCACATTTTCGATGTCCCTGAATGACTTCATTTTAATCTGACTATCAATACTTCTTCGTGGTAGCGAACTTGCTACTTTGACGAGTGGAGCCAAAAAAAATAAAGTATCGATAAAATTTTCAAACAACCATGCTATGAACAACACTACGTTTTCATGTTAACATGGCAAATATTTACTTGTGATGCAACACTTTGCCATGTTAAATTTTTTTCCACTTATCTTTCAAACACTTCAGAAATTACCAGAACACACACAATTCAGTATTAAAATGAAAATAATTTTCGAACAGCAATTATATGACAGTCGAAGTACAAAGTGTAGACCTAAAATGGCGGCATGCCATAAAATGTGCTTCAAGGCGGGGCTTAGTGACGTAACGGAAAATTAAAACAAAAATTTGAAATTCCTGACATATATTGTACTTTATTTACATTTGTAAATTACAACGCGTAATTACAAAAACATATCTCTCTCACTCTAGTGAGAGAGATATGTTTTTGTAATGGAGGTGTATATTTGCATCATATTTGTATAACGAGAAATTGTATATGCAATAAAGGGCATATCCTCTTATATTCTTATATCAATGGATACGATAGACAACTGCTAGTGACAGTGTCAGTGTTACTGTCAGAATCAGTGTCATCTGCCAATCTGACATCAGGGGGGAATGGGGATTCGTGCACGAGGCTCGTGTTAGGAATGCCGAAAGTCAAGAAATATATCGATATATCGATATTTATAAAAATATCAATATCAGCCTCGATATATCGAAAAAAAATATCGATATCTCGGTAATAATAAGTAATATTAATTTTTATACCAAATTCACATTATTGAAATGAATGAGAAATTTTAATAAAACTTTAATTATTTATTAATTTTAATCTTTCTTTTATTAATCTAAATTTATAGGTATATTATTGATCAAGACCTTCACTGGAAGAAACAAAAAGCTTATTTAGTAAGATAAATCAATTTCTTTAGCGCTGAAGCGAATCAAAACATTACTAATAAAAAACGTGTAACTTTGTAAAAAATACTTAAAGAATTGTTTAAAACGAAGTTAATAATGGGTCAAAAAGAAACGCGCAGGGGCTTGGTTCGGTAGAATTTAGTACTATTTGTTTGAATGACATGAAAATGCTGAACGACAATTTAAAAAGTTACTTAATTATGTGGTTAAATGAAAAATTATTTTTATGACGTTAAATATTTTTTTATGAAAACGTAATATTACATTATGTAACATTTTGTTCACTTTATTTACATATTAAATTAAAGTAACTTTAGTTAATGCCATTTATATTTTGCATGCTATTTATAAATTAACTTAACATGTAGTTCAATATTAATCATTTCTAATATTTCTATACCATCGAAGCATGAAATTGTGGTATAAATACCATAATTATAGTACCTAATACAAGTCTGCGTCCGCGACAATACTAGTCGTAGACAACCGATTGATTGATTGATCTTTTACAGCTTTGAATCAGTTAATGTTCACCTGAATTAAATTTGAATAAAAATATCGTTTTTGATACGATTTCGATACCTACTCAATTTTTTATATCGATAAATCGAAATATATCGGCCAAATATAACGCTTATTCCGCCATCCGCCATTGATGTGTTATTTACTTGTGTTGAGTTTTCTAATTTTCTTTCCTAAAATTATTTGCGAAAATGTTTTCCATGATGACAGTAGTGCAGTTAAAGGACGATTTAAGAAAACGTAAAGCTTCTGTAGTAGGTAAAAAGGCTTCTCTAATCGAAAGGTATGCGAGAAATATTCATCTTAAAATTATACGTAAAGTTTAAATTATAACTTTTTCCCTAAGGTCATTTTTGTAATTTCAACAAACCTATTAAAGTTTTTGTGACTGTAGATTGGAAGCTTATGATCGCAACGCCAATTTTGGTGTGGGTGATGACAATGAAGACGAAACATATAATGCTCCGGCTGCTGAACATTTCCGCGATATTAATGCGAGCTCATGTCTGCCTGAGTTGACTAAACAACATATTCAAGCATTTGTGGAAAGGTTAGTATAGTGCTGCATTTTTATAAGAATGTTACGACTAATAAACAAAATTTTACTGTCAGTTAATTGATCAATTCTCTTGCAGATTTCAAGCACAAATGAAGGGCAGGCAAAGGTACAAGTCGCGATTTCTATTAACTGCTCGTGTTGCATTTGATGGTAATATCACATTTATCCAAGGCCAGTGTAAATCCCAAATGAAGAAAATTGCCTATGTGGTCAACATCCAATTAAATAGAGATGGTTCCATTGAGAAAAGTCACTGTGAATGTGCTGCTGGCAGTGGTTTAGAAGCACATTGCAAGCATGTTATGGTTTTATTATATGGTGTTGAAGATATGGTACGCACTAAAACAATTATTCTACATCAAGTATGCACTCAAAAATTAATGAATTCCAAACGGCCAAAGAACGTGTTCTTTGAATCACCAATGCAAGCTCAAAAGCCACCTAACAAAAGAAAGAAGAATGTGAATTATTCACCATTAACAGAAGATGACATAATGGATAATTATGAAGATTATGTAAGAAATTTGGCCATTTCACATGGTTATACAACAATGCCTATATTATAAATAATAAAGCGTGATAACCCATATGCTGTAGAATGGGATCGTCAATACTTGAAGAAAAACTTGAAAGATCAACTTTTAGAAGAACTGTTTTTGAAAAGATGTGACTAACGAGAAGGTTATTGATGTAGAAGCCATTGAGGTTAAGGTTGCATTGATGGACAGCAAGTAATTTTTACTCTATCACCCATAGCAAGATAATAATAAGCAATAGATATGGATGCAGGAACATTTAGCTGAAAATCTATTAAATTCAAAGCCATCTTTCAGCATAGCTACAGCTCATGGCAAGGTGCAAGAGCCTGTAGCAATATAGAAGATTTTGTTTCCCCAATATTAGTATCAAATGGCCATGGAACAGTAATTAAAGCCCATAGAATGAATAGACAATCAACTAATGAAAATAACATTCCCTTCCTGATCCAAACCGCTGTGCTGACCTTGGGACAGAAACTACACCATATAGTTATTCCTATTGTACCTCAATGCCTATTGAACCTTATGTATAAAATTCAATGTTTGAAATGTTGCCATTATAGACATGTAACATCTCAATGTAGATCTGCCCCGCAGTGTTTTGTCTGCTCATTAATTTATGATTAAATATAATCAATCAATCAATGAATTTCATAAATACTCCAATTGGAACTTCAAATCCAACACCAGCAAGAAATCAAACTATTATTCCAATGCTGCACAACTCTTACAGTGATACTTCCCCTAGTTCTCCCTATAAGAGCCTGTCTCTAGTTCTGGGTATGAGGGTAGCACATAAAGAAAAAATTGCAACCCTCCTTGTAGCTAAAGAAACTATATATATACATATTACAAAGGAGAAGATTACGGATAGAGCCCTGAGGCAGGCCTTTTCCGACAGTTCTTGATGGAAAAAATTAATTTTGAACATTTACTAAAATTGAAGAGGAGAGGTAGTTAAAAATAAAGTTGACAATCTTCACTGTTATGCTCAGCTGTAACATTTTCTGTCTGAGTACAGGAAGAAGAGCATTATCATATGCCGAAAAAGCATCTAGATATACTCCTACAAGGAATTGTTGTTTTTAATAGGCAATTCAAATATCCGTAACAAGTGTGTTTAGGCTATCCATTGTGAACAAACCTACGCAGAGTTCAAAATGACTTTTTCCAAAAACCGCTCCAGGTGATTTTCTATAAATGCTCAAAAACTATGGCAATTGTACATGAGAGGGTGATAGATCGAAATTAATCGAAAAAATGCAGAATTTAATTTATCAGCTGTTTGCTGTGTGCATTCATCATAGTGATGATCACTTTCTCATTTTCTTCGTTACCCCTATCCTATTTTTCAATGTAAAACTAACCCTTTATTTGATACCCCTTATGATACATTAATTTTTAAACCTGACATTTATCTTGACCTGGGCAATTGTCCGATGGCATATTATAACTTGTGTCTGGCTATTGAGAGAAATTGGAAGGATCGGCTAATAATGCATATACAGCGTGTCGTTACCATCACGACAATAAATGAAGACACGTCTAACGCTATTTGCCAAAAAAAATATTAACGTTAAACAAAATCCATAATTAAAAATAAACAAACTAATTAAGTAAAAAAGAAACAAAATTTGTAACATCCTATACAACTCCCGCCACAGCGTCCTATTACAAGCCTCTCCTTCTAACAGTATTTTTTGTCTCTTTTAAATTCATTCAACCCATTCATATGCTTTGTGACCTTTACAAATGAACTTTACGTTACGCTTTTATAGGTAAGGGTGTTCTAAAATTCTTTGTTTTGGAAAATTTAATAACTCTGTAAATATTGATGTTTAAAGAATTTAAATGTTTAATACAACTTTAAAAAGTTATCCCCTATAAGTGTGTTCATTTATTGTCGCGATGGTAACGACACGCTGTATATAGTTCCAAATTAAGTGGATTGGGTTACACTGGAGCAGCAGTTTGGATGCCAAAGTACAAAATAGCCCTTAATTTGAATATCCTTCCCCTAGATCTATATTTACTGCCGCGGCTACTGCTATATATTAAGCACTATTATTTGTTGAATCTTGAGTCCCGTATACTTCAACACTTTGAACAGATACTCGGACTAGTACACGTTGTGGAGAACACTAAGAAACGATGGCCCGACTTACATCGTCGCTTGATTGGATATCTGTCGTTGGTAACAAGCTTACAAGGACAACTTTAGGACCCATCTTTCGCTGCCAAAATACTTTGCACCGCATGTGAATCCCCATTGCTCCACTGAAAGCAGTTCACAGCACCTGATGAATGTATGGGCGGACACATTGGTTCACCACATTATTGGCCCTAAATTCCTGCTAACGAGCGAGTTTAAATGAAGAAACATTTGGAGCTACCAACTGGAGACTAGAAGAGGAATCGTTTGCCGGGGAATTTATTCTAACATGTGGTTCCAGCATGACGGAAGCGCCCGCGTCCTGTGCGAGTAGGGTCCGTGCATATGTTGATGCACGATGTCCGGGACAGTGGATCTGTGCGCTGGCCTCCTAGTTCTTCAGACCTGACAACATTGGACTTTTTCAGTAGGGTTATTTTAAATTAGTGTATTCTGTGCCTGTGAAACGCGTTGAGCACGGTTAGTCCACAAATGCTGCAAAGTGTAATTGAATTAGAGCAAGTGACGATTACATGAGACTCGGCAGTTGACCATCATAATTTGCTAGACAGCACACATGTTCTAGGCCTCAAGAAATTATAATTAACAATGTCGGTCACGCAGGTCCCCACACTTTCAAAAGCAACTTCATTTGGATCAGTGTGCACTTGAGATTGGTTTCGTCCTCTAGGTCCAATGACTATGATGGACGTCTTCATTTGTCATATAGCGTATACACTTTACTTTTCACAAAAGTGACAATTCATTTAAAAAAAAATGGTGTCAGTGTCTCGTAGAGTTCGATCGTGCATCGAGATAGATAGACCAGCATTTTAAGCCATTTTTATTAAAGTACGCGTTAACTTGAAGTAAAAGTGGATGGACAGCTTTGTCTTTTTAAAATTATATAGACATTAAACGATTCTAAATAATTTAAAAAGCTTATTTTCATTTAATATACCCATCATTTACTAAGGAGGAAGACTTTTTTCGTTATAGACCTACGTTATTAATTTTGAGTTGTATAAATTAAAATGTTTATAAACATACACAAACATTCATTTTTATGTATAAAAATGTTAAGTTTGTATTAATTTAATTTTAAATGGCAAGCAAAATTATTTAAAAAAAAAACTACTCGTTTTACTATTAAGCAGTTATAAAACAAGCCTAGAATAGGTAAAATACGACAGACTGAATGAAATTATAAACATTTACACCACTGTTAGACTGTTGTTTTTCCTTAGACAAGCTAACACTTTCAATTAATGCAAGAGTAGAAAGTTCTGCTTGATTCACTGGTCATTGTGAAAACAAAATCTGTAGATATCTAGATTTATGAGCACTATAAGTCAAGATTTCTTTTTCTTTATTACACAATGATTTCATTCATTTTTGGGTTAGTATAAAACTGGTAAGGGAATATTGAAACATCACATGTTTTCAATCATTTATATTGAAATTATTATCACCTTCTTAATCAGCACTGAAGGGTGTCTACGTTTTACGTAAAACACAATTACAAATAATACAGTGAATGCAGTACAAATAGATTAATATAAAACAACTCAGAAAGTAAAGTGGAGTCGGCCCGACAATTACTTGGACTTGCCTGAAGGCACTTGAGGTCAAATACTTATTCGCTTGTAGTTTTGATTTGGCAAGTCAACAGTTTTAAAATTACTCCTCTCTTCTAAAATTTTAACTTGGCGTAGTTATTAAATGAAAATTATCCATAAGGGAAATTAGGTACATTTCGTACGAAAAATGCTGCCCACTGGTATATATTGGTCTAAGACAAATAAATATTTAAAAAAAATATAAATTTCATATGTAACTGATTACACAAATTGCATATGATTAAAATCACTTTATTCTATTATTTCAACCTCATTTAATTTTAGAAGGCAAGAGTGAATTTTATAAATAATTAATTGTATATAAATAAATTATTGTAACAGACCGACTAAGGCAAAAAATTATTGCTTGATATTAAGAATTTATTTGCTTTTTTTTTATAAATAAAATTTTGTAAAAATAAACTTATTACACATTAAATATTACGCCTAATTCAGACCGAATAATATGAAAATGTATGACAAATTGTTAACATGATATATGCTTGCAAATTGTATAATTAGGTATTGTACCATTAACATTACTCTCTAAGTTATTTATTGATATTATATTCTGTAAAGTACTCAGTCTGAAAATAGCATAACAATGTTGCCAATTTGCATATAAAAGCAAAATATCCATTTATTACGTTAGTAAAAGACTACAATTTCCCCATTTGTAGTTGACCAATAACATTCGTTTGTAGTTCACCAATAACATTAGCTTTGTACATTGTTGAACTGGTTTGAAGTTCCCATAACTTCCATCCGTTCCATCATAAAAACTGTGATATTCAATCAGCCACAATTGTTTCAATAAAGTATTTTGCGAATGTTTCGTTATTTAAAAATAGGCATTTGATGGCAAGTAAGAGCATTTCATGGCAAAATAAATATCTTGGCTGTATCCCACTTTCACACCAGAAAGTACAAAATCCTTCACAACTTACAACTATACTTTGTCAATTCATCCTATGATTTCGTACACTACCCGAATTTTCACAATTAATCTTTTAAATATTAACCATTTCTATCTTTATAAATGCACTTCTTGTTATTTATTTATCTATTCTATGGAAGGTGAAAATTAAACGAGATTAAAATAAAATTGGGCGTTAATTAAAGTTAGATAAAGGGAATGACACCGTCAAACGTGTTCTATTCATTGGTGGCCAATGTTGTAATAAAAAGGAAAGATTATAACATCCAAAAAATATGCTAACTTAATGAACATAGAAAAAGAACTATAGATATTGAATACTCAACAATACTGAAAGAAAGATGGCATTTGCTTAACGATTTTGGAATTACTTACATTAACTTCTTTGGTGCTGTGTCATTTATTAAAATCATGTTTGATTTCACTGCTATTGGACGCTATACGATTGGCGTACTAAAATAATTTCTAATTTATCTACTAAATTGTTATACTACAAAACTGATATTAACAACATTACAACACTACCTCTAAACGAGATAGTTAACATACACACCATTTTTACACATTATAACGCAGGCAAAACTTGCATGTTGGCTAATTAAAATACACCTAATATTTTTCACCGTATTAATAATAATGTATACTATATTTACATAACCTAAGATTATATACACAATGGAATCATTGAGATCATTACAATGTTGGCTAATTACAATTGATGACATGTGTAACCCATTACATACACGTATAATTAAAATAATACTTTAGAGTAGACTGGTTTGGTTCATGTCGGGTATTTGATGGCTGTACCACATTTGAGGTTATATTCTCTATTAAATTTGTCATTACTCAGCGCCGAATGGAAGTTGTAGAATAAATGTTATTTATACATTATAACGTATTGTTATATACATCACCTGTTGTACAATTAAAAACGAAAAACAACATACAAACAAAAACAAGAACGGAATTTTAGCACTATTGCACATAAATCCAAAATCAACTGATCCAATAGGTTCGTCCGGAGCATTGCTTTAACCAAATCTCTCTTTAACCAGGAACATTAGTTTCTTCTTGCCTTTATATTTAAGTTTGATCTCTTGGAGTAGAGCGGCAAACTGATGAGGCCCATCGTGGGCTAGTGCAAATGTGTCCCGGGCTTTGCCTGTAAAAATTGATTAATTTAAATAATATTGGAGGTAAGCAGTACTGTTTGAACTTTTTTTAATAAAATGCACTGTTATATTAATTTTGGCACATATGGTCTTCAGTTTTTATCATTTAAAATATCTCCATGACAGTTATTTAGTACATTACCTAAATAACTCCGAACATTGTTATAACTTAAATGACATGGGTTTTAAGTCATAAATAGGTAAAAATACTCAGCCACATTCCCTCATTGTCATATCTAGGCCTAGATATCTCTAATTTCAGTAGAATATTAAAAATAATTAAAAAAAAACATTTGTACTAACAGAAAAAAACAACACACTCCAACCCAATGCAAAAAGAGGTAACAAGCACAAAAAAATCGCAAGTCTGTTCTCAAATAGTGTACAATACCAAATTTAATCTTAGCGTCACAATTATCAGACCCGAAGAACCGACATAACCAATACAAATATATTTAAAAAATGAGTGCAGAACTTTGTTTAAATGAGTATCTTTTTCAAAAAAAAAAATGAAGGCATATATGAAAGTGTGCATGCGTGCGTGACTGCACGGATGTATGTACCGAGGAAATCGACGAAGTCTGCGTAGTGGCGCGGCGAGATATGGGCGAGGCGCGCGTGCGTCGTAGACGCGTAGGCGCGTAGCGCCGCCTCCAGCAGGGGTCGTAGCGGCGTAGGCGGACGTGGGGGAGGGGGGCGCGCACGCGAACAACCCGCCGCCGCTACGCAGCACCGCCGTAGCACGTCGGACTGTGGACAAATGATACCGTAATAGGTAAAAAGAGAAAATATTTATCAAGGACAAACCATCGATCGAAGTTTTAGAATCACCAGTAATTACAATATTCAGGAGTCTCTTTTTCATTTTTCAATCAGCCTATGTTTTTACTTCGTTTATGTTGCATGTAACAAAACATCTAGCTGATATGTAATCAATAATTATATGATACCTTTTTGGTACATATGCTCCATTTCCTTTAACCCTAACGTCGCAGACAGCTTTCAATAAGCCCACTAAACTGGATACCCAGCCAATTACATCACACCACAGCAGTTATAACTATATGATATTTTGCGATGGAAGGAAAAGTTAAACTCACCGGCGTATGTATACAGAAAAGTGGGTCTGTCTCTTAACGCCTCTGCGATCTAAAACAGCGATGTCACTCGAAGTGCAAAACCGCTGGTCAGTTGTCTATATCTAATAAAATTGAAACACTCGACAAAGATACATTTCAATGAAATTACCAAGACGGGTGCGCACTGGACGTTTTTCACCAGCAATGGAAGCATCGCTTGCAGTTCGGCGCGGCCCAGCGAGTGAGCTAGCGCGACGGCCCAGTGGATGTCCGCTATCGCCGGATGGCTGTCCTGTTATGATAAACGTACGCCTAATAAGTAATAAATCATTTGAACGTTAAGTAAATGTTTAATCATAATGTTAACATATTTACATTTTTATCAAATAGTGAGTGATTACAACATACCACGCTACAATATAGTGCGTGCGGTCGCATCTTAAATAGGGTACTAATTACTGTAGATATTTTTCCTTTTTATTCCTTCGCGAGCGTTTGACTCATTAACGCCTGGTTTCCGAAACAAAAAAAACTAAAAGTTCGACGCGAAAAAAAACCACCTGTTTGTAGAGAAAAATCTAAGACTTAAAAAAAAAGAACCGGATTGTAGTGAAAGAACTACGACTTGGAAAAAGGGCCTATCTGTAGTGAAAGATTTATGACTTAAAAGAAGAACCTGGCTGTAGTGAGTGAACTATAACTTAAAAAAAATGACAGGGCTGTAGTGAAAGGACTATAAAGAAAATCTGGCTGTACTAACAGAATTACGACTTAAAAAGAAAAAGAACCTGTCTGAAACTAAAGAGCAACCAAAAAAAGCAACCTGGCAGTAGCGAAAGAACTGTAACAAAACAAAAGAGAAACCGACCGTAGTGAGGGATCTACGAATTAAAAAAAAAAGAAACCGGCCGTAGTGAGGGATCTACGAATTAAAAAAGAAAGAAACCGGCCGTGGTGGGGGACGTATAAATAAAAAAAACCCCGTCACCTGGTTGTAGCCCGAGGCTCAGGCTAGGCGCCTCGTGCGCCAGGCCACCTCAAGTCCGTCGGATCTGTAAAGGCCCCTAAGGCCAACAGTGGCTCATCCAGCCAAAAAAAAAAAAAAAAAAAAAAAAAAAAAAACCTGGTTGTAGTGCAGGTGGAGGTTGCGCATGGCGAGGGTGGCGAGGCGCATCGCGCGCGCCGGCTGCCCGCGCTGCTCCATGTAGCGCGCGACCGCGAACAGCTGGCTGGAGGCGAGCGCGCCGCGCGCCGCCGCGCCGCCCACCGCCGCGCACGCCGCCTCGAACGCCCCCGCTGAGCCCTCGCACACGGACAGCGCGCTCAGCGCGCACCCGGGCGGGTCCTGGGCGGACGTACAGATAAGCGTAGGACGGGCCGAAGGCGTAACATTCGGACGGATTACGGGAAGACAGATGTACATATAAATTATCCCGATGTATGAGCTATATTACTGTAGTTTCATTAAAATCCATTCAGTAGTATTTGCGTGAAAGGGTAACAAACATCCATCCACACATACAAACTTTCGCGTTTATAATATTAGTAAGGATAAATATTTTCGAACAAATTTCTTACACTCTCTAGTCCCAAACTAAGCAAGGTTTGTATTATTGGTACTAGAAAACTGATAAACGTACTCAAACATACTTTTCTTTTGTAAAATAAATACATATTATACATATATAAACAACCAAACACTGGATAAACACTATGTTCATCACACAATATTTTTCCAGTAGTGGGGATCGAACCCGCACGCTCTGGTGCAAGAGGCATAATCATTACTCGCCACGCCAATCAGACGTTATATTTCGGGTAATCATGTGTTAAATATACCGTTATATTTAACATAAAATTGATACAGACGCGATAAGGAATAACAATAAAAACATCGTAACGGTAACTCGAAAACGAACTAAACCAAATAAAACAAACCGTGTGGCAGAGCGCGCAAAAATTTAATGCGCCTAGAAAAAAATTCTAGTAACGAAAAGAAAATATTAATATCGGCCTCGATATATCGATAGTTTCTTTTTAGGACCCGTTGTCCAAAAAAAAAGAAAAGTATGTAAAGTATTAAATATTTGACATCTGCGGACTCTGTGCCGGATTCGAACTAGTCTTTTTTTAATATTTGATTTTGTTTATTTTATATCGATATATCGGATCAAACGGATAGGAAAAAACAGCATATTTACAATAGGTTTTCCACATTTTCACACTCTCATCACAACACAAAAGGATGGCAAAACTTATAATAAATTAAAAACTACTAATAGGTTATTTAGTAAAAAACGAAGAGAAGAGGACATTTCGAATACAAGTGTGTGTGTGTGCGCGTGTGTGTGTGTGTGTGTGTGTGTGTGTGTGTGTGTGTGTGTGTGTGTGTGTGTGTGTGTGTGTGTGTGTGTGCGTGCGTGCGTGCGTGCGTGCGTGCGTGCGTGTGCGTGTGTGTGTGTGTTCATATCTTCCTTCTTTTAAATGCGTTGTATGGCAGAAAATAGGTCTAGGTAATTAGAAGTGTCGATTTGTGCCAGTCTATGGGGACCTATTCAGTAGTGGATGGGACGGGGTGGTAAGCTGTTTACCTTGGCAGCGCACTGAAGGGCCAGGGTCCGTGCGCAGGCGCTGAGCTTCTCCTGCTGCTCGAAGCTCAGCCCCAAGCGAAGTGCGGTGGCGTGGGACATGGCGGCCGCTGCCACGGGCCCAGTCGCCTCGGTGGGGGTGAACAGCTCGTACCTGACGGATAAACCCTCGTGATTACAACGCCCAGGCTATTGTGGTGCCACGTAGTTCTCACTGTTGCACGAATGAGCCACGTGAACCGGCGTGAAGAGGTAGTGTTGTGCTTTTGTGTTTCGCCTGTTTAGTGAGGCAGCTGGGACCCACTTTATTAAAAGGTGGCAAGGCATCTGCCACCCTATGGGGTGTTGCAAATGTCCATGGACATGTCTTCCGTGAGGGCGTGGTACTTACCGGACGGACCCGTCCATTTGTGCAACAGCCGAACTTGTTGCGTGGCCCTACCACAGTTAATCCCATAGAATGGAATTACCGGTCCACAAAGAGACAAAGATGCGAACATATCACATAACCAGTGTATTGATTCATCTTAATTCCATAGTGTGGAATTACCAGTCCAGAAAGGCACAAAGATACGAAGTTACCGCGTAACCAGTGTATGGATTCAGCCCTCACCAGTTCTGCATGATGGAGAGCAGTGCGTCCAGGCCTAGTTCGGTGGCGCAGGTGACCAGCCAACGTACCATCTCGCGCCGACGCCAGTTCACGGACGAGAGCGTCATGCGCAATACCTGGTAACAAGTCATTGACAATAAGGTTAGGTTGGATGATTGGCAAGTTGATCAACTGTTGACCTCGCAAGGTCGTGGATTAGATAGCATCAGGTAACAATGGTTTGATCCAAAGATAACTGGGCGTTTTTTCCGTAAGAAGGTTGACGTCAGGCAGGCGGCTGGTCGTATAAAAACCTAGCCAATACCTTTATTCACATGATTCAAACGGTGCCGGCCCCACATACGGGAGGTTATTGCTGGAGTATATGAAATGGATAGTTTAGTCTTTTAATAATCACTGGTACTAAATTGTCTCGAAGTGTCTGATGTAGAAAAAAGGCCTTTTATGAATCTCTGACAGCTCTATAACTCTGATAGACTAATCTTAAGCAGCTGAAGCTGAAGAGTTGAGAATACAGGATAAAGATCTTAAGACGTCGAAGAGTTAAGGATAAAGGGCTGGCTTCTGGTAGACGATGTCGAATAGTTGGGGATAAAGTGCAAGGATCTAGCGGATATTGAAGATTTGGAGATAGAGGTTAAGGAGAATATGTAGAAATTGGGGATAAAGGGCCAGGATTTGTCAGACGTCGAAGAGTAGACTGATTGTACACGTTGACGAAGAACGGATAGAGGTGTGGGATCTGGCAGGCTGACAGAGATTAGGCGACTCTGGAGAATGATCTAGTATACTTCGAATTGAACACTTGATGATAAAGGGTATCGACTTGGTAAACGTCGAACAGTTGGTTATGAAGTGCAAATTTAAAAATATCTTTATTAAAATAGACGCTCGCGTGTTCTAATGAAACGTCAAAGCAAGCTAGGGTCTAGCAGATTAAGCGAGTTGAGGATAGTATAACGATCTGAAGACGTCGAAGAGTTGGGGATAAAGGAAAAGGATCTGGCAGAGTTTGAGTAGGCGACGGAGGAGAATGATCTAGTACACGTCGAAGAGATGCGGATAGAGAATAGGTGACGCAGCTTGATGGTGCACGAAGAGGTGCGGATAGTGATTAAGCGATGGTACACAAAGGGCGGATGTTGAGTAGGCGACGCGGGGTGATGATGTGGTACACGATGAGGTGCGGATGCCGCGGTCACCTGGAGGCCGAGCTCGAAGGCGGCGGCGAGCAGGTCGCGGTGGTGGTGGGGCGCGTCGGGCGGCGCCGCGTGGCGCAGCGCGTCCTGCGCCAGCCGGAACAGCTGCGCGGCGGAGCGCACGTGGCGCTGCGCGGCGGCCAGCGCGGCGCGCAGCCGCAGTGGGGTGCCGCGCGCCGCACCTGCGCAACGAGCGCCGCGCTCAAGCTCACTGCCCAGCACACGAGGCCGACACAAGTGCGCACGGCCACGCTCAAGGTCGATGCCCAACGTAGCGCACGAGGTCGCGACGAAACTGATGCGTACTCGAATACTCGTATCCTTTAAGGTGACGCTCGTGCGAGTAATCTTAATCGCCGTCAATGAGAACAACCGAGGATCCACCTAGGATTAGGCTAGCTGAATAACCCCTCGCGAATTGTCATGAATTCATGCTATTCTTAACTAAGAGTGGGATAAAATTTAACAGCAACTACGTAACCACGCATACGTGTGAAAATACGTTTATTGACAGAAACTACCGTAACATCATGCATTGGCACGACACTAGGTAAAACCTGTCCAGTGGTTGCCAGTTAAGATTACAAAGTTTTTGCCAATCGAGTGATCGTTTAATACTTAAACTAGTTCAGTTTTAACTATTTACATTTATTTCAACAACGTTTTATAATAATTTAATCTAAGCAAAATAATCGGGTCGTGTAGTTGCGTGTGCTAACCTAGGAGGGCGCTGGCGAGCGCCGCCTGCTGCTGTTCAGCGTGCTGGAGGGTGTGCCAAGCGCCGGCACCGCTCGCGCCGCACGCCGCACCGCAGCCGGAACCGCTGGCGTCCAGGGCGTACGCCTCTTCCACCATTGGTAGCCTGCACGATAGACCTTCTCTCATACCTCGTAATAGAACAGCTCAGGATACAATACATACATTTTCGTGGTCTACTCGAAAAGAGGATGAATGGGTCGTATAGACTGAAAACTACCGAGGTCTCGCAAAACACCAACGTCGAAATGTGTGTAATTTTTGTGTGAGGGCTAATGAATAGAAATATATGGTAGCTTTTTCTTTTAATTTTAGCAAACAACCCTATTAAGAGTTTCGGTGTTCACAGCAGTAGAAGTAAATAACTCGATACCATATCCACTCACTCGCTGCATTAATTTTTCTAGTACCACGTAAAGTTTGTGATTTGATGTTTGTTAGATAGAGACATAGAAACGCCGGGAAGCGATAGCGCATGAAGATGGGGGAGAATGGGAGGAGCGAAGTAGGCGGAGGAAGTCTGTTTGCTTCATCGCGTGGATCCGCACGCGGTAGACGTCGTTGAGTGGCAACCGCATGTGCATACCTCATCTCGCGCACCCACGTGGTAGGCTTTGTTAGGGCCAGATAGATATAGAAAGCAAGGGTGGGTAGGAGCGAGGGTGGGGATATGTACTTACCTCATAGCGCGCAGCCCCACGCGGTACGCGAGCTCGGCGTCGTTGGGCAGCAGCGCGAGGAAGAGGTAGCGCGCGAAGGTGTGGGCGGGCGCGGAGCGCGGGTGCAGCCGTGCGCCGAGGCACGAGCTCGGCCCGCCGGCGAGCAGGGCGCCGGCCACGCGCGCGCACACGCCCGCCACCGCCTCGCCCTCCACGCGCTGCAGCTGCGCGATCAGCCGCTCCTCCTGCAAGGGGGCACGCGTCAGGAGCGCGGGGCGCACGCAACGGGCCACTTGTCTAACCACTGGCCGTCGACCACACGGTGTACTGTAGCCAGTGGGTGACGTTCTATAATACGCATGAGCACAGGCCGAACCGCGACACGAGTCACGCTTCCCAGGTCACCGCCTCCAGCCATCGTCCATACAGTAAACCGTAGCCATTGGGTGACGTTCTATAATACACATGCGCACATGCGCAGTCCTACACATCACGGAAGCGGTATCGAACTTGGGCGGTTGACTATCCCACGAGCTCTATTCGTCTCGGGGCGGCTCTCACCAGCACCAGCCACCGCAACTTTAATGCAACAGCTAATGAATATCTTATTAGATCAAGTACACTTCAGCACATGCGCGGCTCTACCCAACTCGGGGGCCATATCATGCTCACGGGGACTGGCTATTATACCACGAGCTCTGCGTTCGATGGGTCTTTAAGAGTCTTCTATCATAAACATCAGTGGAAGTTTAGTGAATATGTTCCGTCCCAACTTAAGTAGGGCTTCTAACCAAAACAGTTTTGATTACCTCACATATAGTATGAAATACAGTGTGTCGTTACCATCGCGACAATAAATAAACACATGTCTAAAGCTACTTGCCAATAATCATAAAAAAATATTAACATTAACAAAATCCATAATTAAAAAAAAATTTTTTTCAAAAAAACTAATTAAGTAAAAAAGAAACAAAATTTGTAACATCCTATACAACTCGCGCCACAGCGTCGTATTACAAGCCTCTCCTTCTAACAGTATGTTTTGTCTCTTTTAAATTCATTCAACCCATCCATATGCTTTGTGACCTTTACAAATGAACTTTACGTTACGCTTTTATAGGTAAGGGTGTTCTAAAATTCTTTGTTTTGGAAAATTTAATAACTCTATAAATATTGATGTTTAAAGAATTTAAATGTTTAATACAACTTTAAAAAGTTATCCCCTATACGTGTGTTCATTTATTGTCGCGATGGTAACGACACGCTGTATATTTGGCCAGCCTATTTGTTTATATGTTTAAAGTTACCCACGGAGGACACAGGATAGCGTTAATATAAATATTTTAGGACAAACAATAAAAGAAATCGAAAGAAAAATAATAATAGTTAATTCGTATAAGAATTAATAACCATGTTAAGGTCCAAGTCATGTAGACATTGATCTGAACAAACTTTAAGGTGGTCAAAAGGTATCCATGTGTTGGCTGTTACTATACCTTAAAACACGTCGAAAAAGTACGAAAAGATTATTGCCGCTGTGGGAATCGATCCCACTCTTCGGCATTCGCGGCCTGACGCTCTAGCCACTTAGCTAAACGGCTGATAGCCACAACGACAAAAATCTCAACGCCTTCTTTCTACATTGTTATTTAGCATTTTAAGCAATGCTTGTTACTATACCTGTTTGCAATACCGCTCCTGCGCGTAAAGCCCGCTGGGCAGCATTCGCTGCATGCCCAGCCCTAGAAGCGCTGCCTCCAGGGCTAAGGCCAGGTACGTCTCTTCAGGGTTCTTGCTGCCCGCCACAGGCACGTGTTGGTACCTGGAATTGCGTTACCCAATTACCTGTGATGGTATTCAGACTGCAGTAGTATTCAGATGCAGACTATCAACACAGGTAATATTAATTTACATACAAAAGTGTTTCATTACCGTTTTAATAAAATTTTATTTAAACGGTATTAAGTGTTATACAGGATACTTTACAGCATTCATTTATAGTCACGAGTCAGACCTTCTGAGTACCTTTCGGTTAGAACACTACAAGATTATTTAAATGGAAATTACAGGCACACTATGAAAATGAATTGATCGCTTCAGGCTCTTAAAGTAGCATCGCTGAGTTTCTCTCACCGGTTCTTCTCAGGTCAGTGGCTTTTCTGTTCCGAACCGGTATTGTGACAATCATCAAGTAAGCGTAATGCTTCTAGATCGAATAAAGATATTTGAATATGAGTATTCGTGTAAAGCCTTCAATATGTCAGTTTAAATTTGCACTTTAGATTTTTTGTTAAAATGTGATGTCTGCGTAAATACGAATTGTCATGTGTATACATTTATACAGGGGGGCTTTTCTAAGTGTACCCATTTTTTTTTATTAAATTATAGACATAAATAATGTTATATAAAAAATGATAAATATTTTAAATCACTCGTAAGTAATTAAATACATTCATTTGAACTTATCTCAAAAAGTGCGTGATTTATTTATACGCAACTCATTTATTTTGAGCGCGATCATTCATAAGTAACACGCACACAAGTTCGTTTGTGTGCGTGAATAGTAAAATGTAGGTATTTATGAATGACTACCGCGTTGTCAACAAGTTCTGTTTTTTTAGGGAACAGAATGGCAATTTTTTTTGAAAAAAAAAAGTTTGTTTTTATTTCAATAAACGATTGTACGACCAAGTCTGAACCTCCTGTGTAAATTTGGGCACCTTTAAAAAAGTCACCCTGTAAACTCCTGCGCCATTAGAAATATTTAGGTGGGGCGGCGGTCACCTGGGCGGCAGACCGGTGGTGGGCTCTTCGTCCAGGTAGGTGTGGAGGCGAGGGGAGGCGCGCTGGTCGTCCGGGGCCAAGCACGCGTCGGCAAGGCACTCGTGGACGCACCACACGGCCTCCAGCGCCCAGCCAGTCCAGCCGCGGCTGTCTGTAAGCGTGTCGCCAGCTCTTAGCTAAAACATTCAGCGCCAGCTTTTTGCTAAGACTGCTCTGATGTAGCGCATGATGACTGAAGCCCGGTTTCTGAAGCACTGATCACGTAGAAGTTAACTAATCAGCCGTCAAATGGCTTTTCAATGGCATTTGAGTTGCCAAATGGATGTGAATTGACCATTCTGATCATTGAGAAGATCATTCTGATCAATTCAAAGGGTTTAACCATAACTGTGGTGGGGCCACGCAGCAGCTCGGCTGTTGCACGAATGGGCAGGCTCGTCCGGGTCCCACGAACTCACAGAAGACCGGCGTGAAGTGGAAGTATAAAACTTTCGCGTTTCGAGTGAGGTGGCCGGAGCCCAATTTTCAAAAAGGTTGTCAACGCATCTGTAACCCTTGGGTGTAGCAGATGTACATGGGCGGCGGTATTCACTTAACATCAGGTGAACCGTCTGCTCGCTTGGCAACTTTTCACATAAAAAAAAATCTCATCAATTTCCCAAACGCGCCAAAAAAACTTAAAAAAAAAAACCGCCCAAGTGCGAGTCTGCCTCGCGTACGGACAAAAAAAAAAAACATCTGTTGTACGGGAGCCCCACTTAAGCAATTTTTATTTTTATTTATTGTTATAGCGGCAACAGAAACACATCCATCGGTGAAAATTTCAACTGTGACTATCACGGTTCATGAGATACAGCCTGCGGGCGGACGGTAATAGGGTCCCGTTTTGCCCTTTGGGCGCGGGGCCCTAAAGAGGCGTAGCAAACGCGAAAATCTCACACCCACCTCTGCCGATGCAGCGGTGCGTGTGCGAGAGGGCGCACGTGTGCCCGTGCGGTAGACACGCGCCCGCGTCCATGTGCGCGCAGAGCAGCGCCAGCTTCACCCGCTCGCAGAGCCCCCCGCACGCCTCGCTGCCGCCGCACGCGCCGCTCGAGGACGCCTCCCCGCTGCCGGCGCTTTGCCACCGCTGCTGCGCCACCTCCTGCCACACGAATGCGCGCGAGCCGCTGTTTAGCAACCCCGCTGTGTATGCCACACAAATGCACGCTGTTAGCAACGCGCCTTTGGGATCCCCTGCGGCGATGGTCGCACCTATTGCCACACAAATGCACGATGTAGGGCAACGCGCCTTGGGGGACCCCTGATGCGATGCTCGCTCCTATTGCCACGCAAATGCAAGCTGTTAAGCAACTTGCCGTGGGGGACCCCTGATGCGATGCTCGAACCTATTGTCACACAAATGCACACTGTTAAGCAACGCGGCTTGGGGGACTCCTTACGCGATGCTCGCTCCTATTACCACGCAAATGTAAGCTGTTAAGCAACGCGCCTTGGGGGCCCTGCGGCGATGCTCGCACCTATTGCCACACAAATGCACGCCGTTAGGCAACGCGCCTTGGGGGACCCTGCGGCGATGCTCGCACCTATTGCCACACAAATGCACGATGTAGGGCAACGCGCCTTGGGGGACCCCTGATGCGATGCTCGCTCCTATTGCCACGCAAATGCAAGCTGTTAAGCAACTTGCCGTGGGGGACCCCTGATGCGATGCTCGAACCTATTGTCACACAAATGCACACTGTTAAGCAACGCGGCTTGGGGGACTTACGCGATGCGCTCCTATTACCACGCAAATGTAAGCTGTTAAGCAACGCGCCTTGGGGGCCCTGCGGCGATGCTCGCACCTATTGCCACACAAATGCACGCCGTTAGGCAACGCGCCTTGGGGGATCCTGCGGCGATGCTCGCACCTATTGCCACACAAATGCACACTGTTAAGCAACGCGGCTTGGGGGACTCCTTACGCGATGCTCGCTCCTATTACCACGCAAATGTAAGCTGTTAAGCAACGCGCCTTGGGGGCCCTGCGACGATGCTCGCACCTATTGCCACACAAATGCACGCCGTTAGGCAACGCGCCTTGGGGGACCCTGCGGCGATGCTCGCACCTATTGCCACACAAATGCACACTGTTAAGCAACGCGGCTTGGGGGACTCCTTACGCGATGCTCGCACCTATTGCCACACAAATGCACGCTGTTAAGCAACGCGCCTTGGGGGACCCCTGCAGCGATGCTCGCACCTATTGCCACACAAATGCACGCTGTTAGGCAACGTGCCTTGGGGAACCCTGTTACGATGCCCGCACCTATCACCCGACCACTAGTGCAGCGTATACGGCGTATCTCGTGCACTCACAAGACGAAATGCGAAATACCTCACTAGGTAGCCGACGCCCACATTTTTGAAGGTTCTCAATGCATCTGCAAGTTCTCGGGTGTTGTAGATATCATGGGGCGGCGGTATTCATTTAACATAAGATGAACCGCCTGTTCGCTTGGCAACTTTTCACCTAATAAGAGGTCTATAATCGTACCTGTCGATGGCGCATGGCGCGGGCGGCGCTAACGGCGAGCCGTAGAGCGGAGGGGGCCCGTCCGTGCGCTCTCAACGCCTCTATCCGCGCCCCAACCACCGGCAGATGCTCTGCGGACACAATAAGCGACTATTGACGACTGTGACATCTTCTACTGGTCAATATGAGGAGTCGGGAATTGAGAGGGCATGTGTGCAATCGAAGAAGCTCAGAATTTTTGCCCCTCATCAATTGCTACTAGTAACAACCAGATCATCTTCCGCCAGAGCCCGTTGGCAATAGAAGCCCTGATTCTTAGCTTATTCTTCCACAGTCAACTTCGTTAGGGTTGCTGTTTTGGAGGAAGCTATCTAGCTTCAAAGCAAAGACTACAATAAATAGATTTTCTAGGTCGCAGTAATCGATGGGACTTACTATCCAACCTGTTCGATACATCATAATCATATCTTCTTCTATCTATTTATCCTCTATCTATATCTTCATTCTTTCTCCTTCGAAGGAAATAAACAGATCTTCTAGGTCGTTGGGACTTACTATCCAACCCGTTCCATACATCATAATCATGTCTTCTTCTATCTATCTATATCTTCATTCTTTCTCCTAACCTTATGCCAACTAAGAGATCGGCACAACATGTAAATCATGATGTTAACGGCTGTACCGTTAAGGTTCCGCTAAGTAACAAACGGCCGTCTGCCTGGCGTCGACACTCCTCGAGAAGAAACGACCAGATCCGGAACAATAATCTGTGGGTCAAACAAATGGTTGTCCCGTGTGGGAATCGAACCCACGACCTTCAGCGCCTAAGCCAATGTCATGTAATGTCATGTAATCATTATCTATATCTGCTACTATCTCTTCTTTATAAAAAAAAAATTACCAATCAAATCATCACGGAAAAACTAATGGATAGATTTTAATTAATTCTTCCAAAGTTCTTAGACACTCGGGCGAGGATCAAAAAAATATTTAAATTAATTTACTTAAACTTTGAAAAAAAAAATATCCATAAATTTTCTTATAGTTTATTTCGAAAAATATTATAATAGGCCGAAGAAATGTCGGCAACCCTAGATGTGTGCTCGACAAACTCACCGTGCCAAAGCGGCTGGCCCAGGTCGTTGAATTTGGGGTAGGGCTGCAGCGTGCTGGTGGCGGAACCGCCCGCTTTGTCCGGCTTCTCGGGGTCGCAGTACTCGTCGCTGCTCAGTATGTTCTTCAGGTGCTCGTTCTCCCACGAGATGTCCACCGCATCCAACGCCCTGGAGGGAAACGGTAGACAACGTCAGACCATTGACCATTTGAATCACCGTTCAATACTACAGCAGTGCTTAAATGGGGACCTTTTTTATGTGAAAAGTTGCCAAACGAGCAGACGGTTCACCTGATGTTAAGTGAATACCGCCGCCCAGGGACATTAGCTTCACCCGAGAGTTCCAGATGTGTTGACAACCTTTTGAAAATTGGGCTCCGGCCACCTCACTCACTCACCAGACGAAACGCAAAAGTATTATACTTCCACTTTACGCCGGTCTTCTGTGAGTTCGTGGTACTTATCCGGACGAGCCTGCCCATTCGTGCAACAGCCGAGGCTGCTGCGTGGCCCTACCACCGTAAAACTTTGCCGTAAGACATTACCGTAAAAATTAGGTTTCTTTTAAAATTAACCTTTCTTGCCATCGCCTCAAATTTTTTCGTCCATCTATCGCATGTCGCATTACAGCTGGCCGGGAGTATAGGTAGAGTGGAAGGTCTTTCAATAATTACGAATTGCGAAAAGCCTCATTCCATAAAAAAAGTAAATATGATGTAAAGATAAAGATAAAAGACTAACTTGTGGAAAACAGTTCGCGGCGTGATCTGAGGTGCGGGCCTCTGGTTATGGAGGCGGAGTCTCTTGCTGGCTCTTCTGTATTCTCTCTCGTAACTGCAAAAGTTAATGTTTACCTCATAAAACCTCAACCTTATACAGCCTCCATTATTTGATTAAATATACCTTGGTTGGAGAGAAGATAAATACGTATGAAATTTCTTCCCACTCAAGTGTTACGGCAATGAAGGCGATGGCGTGAATAACATTTGACGCCGTGATGGGAGCCCCAGTTTTTATACTCTTGCGATTCAACAGAAGTGACACAATTGTGAACAATAAAAAAACTTACGAAAATAAATTACAACCGAAAAAGATTGTGTGATTTGAGTTATTCTATATATAGACAAAATTTTACTACCGTTTACTGTTTGTAGTTATTTTCTTTAAACGCTTACTTATTAGGTCTAGATTCCTCGTCTGAACTCTCCGAATGGGAATGCATTTCCCTTCTTTGTCTCTCTCTGTGCCTTTCCCTGCAATAATAAGAAAAAGAAACCTCGTTAGCATTGATAAAAAAAAACGGACCACGGACTGTGTTCCAAAAATGACGAGATTTAAACGATAAAATCATTAAACCGTTTTATTTAACAATGTGTACATTTCAACACATTGTAATCTTTCAATAAATTCTGTTAAAATGACTTTCACAGTAAAAATAATATTTGCTCAATCAGCTTACTTTATCGGTTATATTAAACTTACTTAAAAATTATACATATTGTTGCAAGTGACGCCATGACATAAATCACTGTTGCCAACCATACAGCCCGTGATGTCTCTTATTCGTAACAATACATAAATGAAGAGTATAACATTTACTAACACAAATTACAATAAAATCAATATACCTGTCCCTCTCTTCCCTTTCGCGCAGTCTCTCTCTGTCTCTCTCCTCGCGGTCGCGGTGCCTCTCTCTGTCTCTGTCCCTGTGGTCTCTGTCGCGATCTCTCTCGTTTCTCTCCCTCTCTCTTGCGTACTGTGAGCAACAACTTAGTATGTAATGTAAGCCTCAAAAGTTAACTTATAACTTTCACATTACTCGAAATTAAACTTGACAGACTTAACTAAACTTCACATTACCCTGTGTTGTAAGGACGTTTTACAAACATAAATTTCACGCGGACAAACACCCAGGTGCGAAACAACTGTCTGTGGGTCACACGAATAGTTGTCCCGTGTGGGAATCGAACCCACGACCTCCGACGCCGAAGCCAATACCTAGGCAACTGCACCACGGAGTCGTTAGAAACAGTTGAAAAGCGGCAAAAATAAAATTGGACAACGAAACCCGATTCGTTAGTAGTTATAATGGAAAAGACAACGTTGACACAATAAAACTCGTGACACTTGAATAAAATTAACATAGGAAAAATGTGCATACAGTTTGGCAAATAGACAAGAGTGCTCCTGAGGATTCTTTACATCTAAAGGTTCGGTGAGCTGCATATGCGAATCTTTTCTTTAAAAAAAAGTAATGTACTACTACTAGGCACATGCCTCCTCTGTACAGAGGGTGTTAGGGCATATGGTGGATTTCGCATTTCTTTCATATTTTTTTTTATTATTGTTCTCAAAATATGCAGGTCTCCTCACGATGTTTTTTCTTTGCCGCTGATCACGTGATAAGTCAGCACTAAAAACCGCAATCTATAATTTCATTGTTTCTGGCACTGGGATTTGAACTCGAGTCGCTCGAGTATTGATATTGAATCAAAGCGAGTGGAGATGGACAGGACACATGACGAGAGGTAGTAAGTTAAAATGGACAAAAATTATAACCGAGTGGCAACCACGCGATGGGAAACGGAAGAGGGGAAGACAGGCAAAAAGATGGATGGACGACATAAGAAATATTGGAGCCGCTACCTGCTCTAGAAAAGCTAGAGACAGAAATGAATCGAAACAGCTGGAAGAGGCCTATGTGTCACTAAAACGGAAAACCCGTTGTTAAGTTTTTTAATACTTTTAGTTCTGTTACTGTGTTTAGTTCTTCAGCAATAAAGGCTTAATTAATTAAATTAAAGCGCCCACTCGGACAATGTATGTTAGGGCAACACTGAACAACATTTCCGCAATAGATCAGGGTGCTAGGGGCACCCAATTCCTGCCTCGTCATTACAACTCCAATGAAATAGTTAATTATAAATGCCGAATTATCACGTGCTAAGCTGTGAAGGAAAGCATCGTGAGGAAACCTGCATACTTTCGAAACAAAAACAAAAAAAAACATTTCGAAAATATGTGAAGTCCGCCAATCCGCGGTGGCCGAGGAGGCCTTTGCCCAGCAGTGGGATATGTATAGGCTGATACTTTACTTTTTAAATCATATACCAGCGACCTATATTTTATTACTACATCCATTTCTCTACACTGTATTACCACGGCCGTATTGGTAGACGGGAGCGCTCACCAGGGGGAAAGAACGGTAATCCGGGTCCTCTGTTGGGCAGACCTCCACAGCCGACCACTTCTCCAGGAGCTGCCGCCACTGCGAGCGGTGGTGCTTGTTGCTGCCGGGGTCCAGCACTATGCTGACCCACAGCGCCCCCAGCTGCTCCCACAGCTGGCGGCACTTCTCCGTCATCGGCGTGTTCTGGTTCCGCCAGAGCAGCAGCCGAGGGTCCGAGAGGAACTGCTCCGTCATCAGCATCAGCATCCGCGGGCCGTTCGAGTCCTGAGCGCGCAGCATCTCCCTGACCTGCAGGGGTATAAAAAATCATATTGTTTTTATTGCCCGCACACAAATTTTAAATTAACAAATGATATGTAAGACACACTGGTAATAGCGAAGTGTCCGCCATTACTGCCGAATTATTCAAATAATCATATTTATAGTAGTATAAAACATATATAATAGATATTTTAGTGGTATAAAACAATCATGTCAATACGAGTACAAAAATGGTTAAAAAAGCTTTGTTAAGTACAGGTATTATGAGTCAAGGTAAAAACGTTCACTGACGCGCGGTCTGCATAAATGTCAACGGAGGTGAATCTCTACTAATAACCAAATTTGTCACCGACGCACATTTTTCATTAGGGAAAATAAGCTTTTCAACACGTTTTCGAACTGCTTCGTTGTAATTTAACGAGTTAACTGAATTTTGTATTTTAATGAATATACTCTTCACAGGCACGTCGTAAAATGAAATTTTATGGCAGCCTGAGTACCAGATATAATATAAACAACATGAATAATCCTTGAGTAAATAATACCTTCGAGAACAATGAGTTCAGCTGCTTGTTTGCATTGTAGTAGGTCCCTTGGAGAAGATACGCTCGCACCTGCTCGCAAACCTGAAACATATGATACTAAACTTAACCTAAATTCCTCTCGTTAGGAAAAGTTTGCTGCATTCTCCTGTGCGAGTGCAGAGTTTTCCCATCCTGCACATCTATACATGCTTTGCTTGCTTGCTTATTGACAGTCGCGAGACCAGCAAGTACAAGTTGTAAGTAAGGCCCGACGAAAATAGTTGAATGGTGGGAAAGTGAATGGAAAAGATGCTGGAGTTCCGAATGAACGAGCAGAGGCGGCGCATAAGGTTCGTAGGTGAGGTAGAAGATGCAGAACTCCTAACTGTAGAGGGGCCACGCAACAGTCTTGCTGTTGCACGAATGGGGAAAATACCACGACCTCACAGAAGACCGGCGTGAAGTGAAAGTGTTATATACTTCATCTCGTCTGGTGATCGAAGTAATCGGACCCCTCGATTATGTGGTAACACATAACTCCGCGGTTGTTGCAAAGTCCATGGGCGGTGATTATCAGTTAACATCGAGTGAACCGCCGGCTTGTTTACCAATTTCTCACATTAAATCATGAAGGTTTGGAGCTTGTAGTCATTGCATACTGCTCTTGGTAGACTTGAAAGTCTACCGAAAAGCATTTATATCAAATCACGCAAAGAAGGCGACCATTTCTAAGGGGTCACTAGGATCGTGTAGCTTGAGACCGTCTCTGTGTACACCTCTTGTTGATTGACTCGGTGAAATTTTACCGCATCCATGTCAAATCACATAAGCCGGCAACCGGAGTCTCGGTCCGGGGGAAATAATATCACATGTTGATTAATTGTTTTTACACGAATATTAACGCGTTTAATTACATTTTTAAATTCCTGACGTATCAAACCCTTTCCAGCGTTCATGCTCATAGGACAGGTTGAGTTATTCACGTCTCAATTTTACAATTGATTCAGGCTACCGTCAATACTATTAACTTTTAACACGCTTATTATTCCGACATAGAGAAGCCAAATACCATATCTCAGGAGGTCTAGCAGTGTTCGTTTGCTTGAATTTATTTTTATACAATATGGGATCCCAAGCTGATGATAAATCCCAACCATCTTCTCTATTGGAATTAGGATGTTTCTTTTCGAAATTCAGATTCAAATATCTTTTTTCAACATGGAAGCATTACACTTACTTATTGATTGTCAAAAACACTACTACCTGTTCGAAAAAAAAAAAAAGCCACTGACCTGAGAGGAACTGGCGAAAGAAACTCAGCGAGCCATTTTTTTTTATTTTAACATAATTTGACGAAAGTATAACAGACATGTATACAATATATTAAAGGAAATGGCAATATATCCACTGGAAAGAGCCTCGGGCGATCAATTCATTTCCAGTTTGTTATCATTATTTTAAATTTTAAATAATAACTAATACTAAAATGGCTACGGCCTCGCGGATTGTGCTTGGGTGGTCACCTGTTGTTCGTCCAGGTGCCAAGCGTGGTGGGCATCTGGCGGCGGACCAGCTGTGGGGTCTGGCGCGCCGCAGATCCTGTTGATGGCAGACCTCGCCTGCAGGACTTCGTCGGCGAGCCGCTGCGCCGTGGGCAGCACCTCCGTGTGGTGCTCCGCTATCAGGTACTGGACGAATTTCTGCAGCTGCTGCCTGTCCATCTGCAGCAGCGTCTCTGCAATCGACCACGAGAAATTACATCTTGGTTTTTTTTAAGTGAGAAGGTGGCATGCGAGCTGGCAGTGCGCCTGATGGTACGCGAGAACCACCGCCTATTTCATTTGCAACGGACGTAGGGATGCAGACGCGTTGCAACCTTTTAATAAAGTGTGCCCGGCTACGTCACCAGACGCAACGCAGAAGTATGATACTTCTACTTCACGCTGGTCTTCTGTGAGGTTACTTCCCCGGACGGGCCTGCCCATTCGTGCTACAGCGTAAACTGTTAGTGACCCTGCCGTAGTTAAAAGAAAAGAAGTTACTCCAAGTTAAACATCGAGAGAGGAAACTACAATCGCTGAGTTTACTCGACGGGTCAAAGGCAAAGTCAGAATTTTTCGTTTAAGTTTATCCTTGTTCGTGGGGCCTTGATGTTCTAGATTGACCGGGCGCCGATACCGAAGACTAGCCAATAACCACAGTCACCTCGTTTGCCCAGTTATCTCTTTCACTGGCGGTTAGCTGTTGCACGAATGGGCAGGTCCGTCCGGGATGTACCACACCTCACAGAAGACCCGCGTGAAATGGAACTGTTATACTTGTGTGTTTCGTCTGCTAAGTCAGGTAACCGGGGCCACTTTAGTAAAAGGTGGCAACGCAAACGTCCATGGGCGGTAGTTATCACTTAACATCAGGGGAACCGCCAGCTCGCTTGCCATCTTCCTAGATTATATGTGTGATCATCTATCACATGTGCTCTTTACCTGATATTGGAACGCGCAGACGGACCGTGTCTGCATTCCTGATGCGGTACAGCGCCAACGCGACCACATGCTGGCACCAGAAGATGTCCCTGGCCTCGCAGCTGCACGTCACGCCCGTTATCTTGCATCTGGAGGCAAACGAGGGTCCATCAGTCTTCCATCGCATCCGATTTATCACAATACGACTGATGTTCGCTAGAATCATTTTCCTATCTTCCTTTTTTAAGCGGGAAACAAACGGCAATAACCATTTTTACTGTGGTAGGGCCACGCAACAGTTTTCACTGTTGCACGAATGGGCAGGTCCGTCCGGATAGTTACAACGACTTCACAGAAGACCGGCGTAAAGTAGGAGTGTTACATTTCAGCGTTTCGTCTGGTGAGTGAGGTAGGCGGGGCCTACTTTATTTAAAGGTGGTAACGCTTTTGCAACCCTAAGTGTGCTCTAACCCTAAGGTGTTGCAAATGTCCATGGGCGGCGATTATTACTTAACATCAGGTGAACCGCCAGCTCGTTTGCCACTTATTCACATAAAAAATAAATAAAAAAAAACAATTAATCAAGTTATTGCACAGAAAAAATGGGAATTCAAGAAATGGATAAAGTATGTATGAAACAACAAAGCGAGACAAACAGAAAGTTGTTCAGAACAAATAACAACATAACAAGTACATTACAAAATATTTGCACTGCAGAGACAATGACTCCTTTAATGTATCTATTAGCCAATTTTCAAATTGTGAGAGGATATTGCTCTTAATAAATATGTTCTAATAATCTATGTTAAGTAATCCATGTTCAGTGTATTTTTTTGCAAGGAGACGGTAAAACATGTGAATCATGCATTTAATACTATTGTCAACCCTTCATGAAAACAAACACCCAGGTCCGGTACAATTATATGTGGGTCATGCAAATAAATTTCCCACGTGGGAATCGAAGCCACGACCTCCGGCGCCGAAGCTAATGGCTTAATAATGGCTTAATATGATGACTCCGTTGCTCAGTGGCCAAGGTATTGGTCGTGGGTTCGATTCCCACACGGGACAACTATTTGTGTGACCCACAGATAGTTGTTTCGCATCTGGGTGTTTGTCCGCGTTAAATGTATGTTTGTAAAAACGTCCTTACAACACAGGATAAAGTTAGCCTAAAGTAAGGGCAATGTTTTTAAAAAAAAAAAATAATAATAATAACAGCATCAAAGACTATGGTTAGGTTAATGTGAAAAATATTAATTTCAAAGTCAAAGTCGAAATTTCTTTATTCAATATAGGCTTAATTTAATCTATTATTGAACGTCAAAAAGTTTGCCGGTTTACTAAACTAGACCTGACCAGAGAAGAACCGGCAAGAAACTCTGCGGTCTTGTTCTCCTTTTTTTGTGATACAATTATACAACGATCTGATTTGCGCAGTTCGCCTTTTCACCATCTGCAATCGGTCAAAAAATCGATATTGATGATACAGGTGGCGCGGCGGAGACTTAAGGCCCATTTACATGGTGCCAGTTTCTTGCCTGTTGTATACAATTAAATTGAAGCAATAAATGAGTTGCATGGTCTAAACAACAAAGGGTCTAAACAATTATTGCGCGCAATTTATTGCATTCAATTATTGCTCTTGTATTTACAAGAAAATGGCATCGTGTAAATGGGCCTTTAATCGATTACCGCACAAGGAATTTATTAGAGTGCGTCCGTAGGTATCTGTAACATTCCTATGCGCTATAGAATACCAGGGTGATACTGAAAGTTTAGTTTATAAAACTGGCGTGTTAGAAACATTGTCAATGAACACTTATTTTAAATTTTGAATACAGAACTCTTTGGTAACCTAATGAATTGGCGGCAATTCCGAAAGCCTAAAATGAATTTGTGTGAAAATTTTCTGTGTACGATTTATTACTACTTTCATTGTGGTCTTACTCAACATCAAACCGTTCAGCGGTTATTTGGAATACTAGACTCTGATTTTCCTAAGACAATCAGGATTATAGACATACAAATAAGTAGGAAGCATTAATTCCCTTGTAATGTAATTTTTTATCCCAAGTGTACTGTAAAAAATGTCCCTTAAGAACACATGCTACATTTGGCTTTCTGCGAAACTGTTTTCACGACTAAGAATACTGCTAAAATGTCTTCAGTTCGAAGGGCATTGTTAAATATTAATAGGCGTCAAGATGCGGACGAATATGTAAACCGTTAATGTAAACTGTTATTTACGACCGTACGGAAATAAAGTGCCTCGTATTGCGCAGCGAGCGATAAATATTGTTTGTAATTTATAGGTCTGCCCTCAAGTGACAATTACAGCTTGGGGAGTATTTTTCTACACTAATAAAGTTCATGGGGCATTTTGAAAACAATTATCCCAAGCATCCAGTACCAGACCGATATTCATATGAGATTCCGACATGTCTTGGAAATTTAATAGAAGCCATAGGAAGCATGTTGTATTCAACGTGCAATGCCTAAGTTTGTGTCTTCGTTGACTAGTTGTAGTATGGGCTCTACACTCGTAGTTTTTAGATAAAGCTATTTTACGGATTGTATTGCGTATAATTTCTGTATACAGGGTGGCTTTTCTAAGTGTATCCATTTTTTTAATTAGATTCTAGACATAAATAATGTTATATAAAAATGATAAATATTTAAATTCACTCGTAAGTAATTAATTACATTCATTTAAACTTATTTCAAAAAGTGCGTGATTTATACGCAACTCATTTATTTTACGCGTGATCATTCATAACTAACACGCACACACGTTCGGGTACAGTAAAGTTCAGGTATTTATGAATGACTACCGCATTGTCAACACGTTCTGTTTCTTAGGGAATAGAATGGCATTTTTTTTTTTTGGAAAAAAAAAAAACTTTGTTTTTTATTTCAATAAACGATTATACACTACCGAGTCGGAAGAACCTCCTGTGTAAATTTGGGCACTTCTCAAAAAATCTCCCTGTATATTCCTGAAGCTTTGAAGCGGCAGTGGGTTACGGGACTTACTAGCAAAACTATATACTTGTATCAAACAACTATTCGTGTGAATTAAAATTTATGATGGACGAGCCCCATTAGCTTAGTGGCCGGACGGTCGCCTTTAGCTCAATGTCATAAAATCATAAATTTAACTTTTAATATTTATTTGTAATTAATTTACCATATTAATTACCTACATTACTTATCTGCTCTCTAACTATAATATTTTTATAAGTGAAGGCTTGTTATTGGCTGTTTGTCATCTAGTTTAGGGTTAGTTACATTTGAATAGTGCAAGTCTTCATATCTTAAATAAATAAAGAAAACCGACAAGCAGCCAGAGTTCAAATCCCGATACCTAATTACTATAAGCACAAGTAATTGTTGCTTGCGTTGATTTACTTGCTCAGAAACTATACTGAGGAAACCATTATCTGTGATACAATTTATGATACACGGAACAAAAGATAAATGTAGGCTATCTTTGCAGGGGTCAGCGTGGTAAACTATGATCTGTACCTTTGTCATGAACATAACTTGTAAACTAATCTGATGTTGCCTTTAATTAGAGACTGTTTCCGTGTTCAGTAGCAAAAGCCCGGGGGCTTTTAAAAAAAAAATATTTATACAGATCAAGATTCAAACGATTTAATGTACACGGTCAAATATTAAACCATTGGAAAACCAATTATCCCACTCGTAAGACAAGATTTGACGTTTGACACAAGCCAACTTTAATGGTGACAGTTCGGATTAGAGAAAAATACGACGATGTCAATATAATAAAATAAAACAAAGACGTCCCGCTGTCTAGACCAGGGATGCTTAGATCTTTAAAGCTGCGCAACGGATCTTGATGCGGTTTTTTTTTTAACTAGATACAGTGATTCAGGAGGAAGGTCTATACGTATAATACGTGCATAATATAGTAGAGTATATTTAGTATCAGCATTGCACCCGTGCGAAGCCGGGGCGGGTCGCTAGTAATTTATATGCGATGATGATTGAAAGCAATTTCATGGACACAGCCTTTTTAAAGTAGAGACACAAGCTAAGCCACAAGACACAAGTAGACTGCGTAAAATAAGTAAATCTTTTATGGTACAATGTATACGTTTCTACGAAAAAATTCCAGAAAACGTTCAAAATGCATCAATATTAAATTTTAAAAAAAGTAATAAAGGAACGTTTGTGTGTTTATTTATTACCTTTAATGAATTGATCGCCCAGGCTTTTTCAATCAGACTTCTTATATTGTATTTGTAATGAATTCATTTCAAACTGTTTATTTAAAATAAAATTAAAAAAAAATGCCCGCTGAGTTTCTTTCGCCGGTTCTTCTCAGTACAGTGGCTTAAGGCCCATTTACACGATGCCATTTTCTTGTACATACAAGAGCAATAATTGAATGCAATAAAGTTGCACGCAATAATTGACCATCAAGAATTGTAAGCAACAGTTTACACGCAGATATAGTAAAAAAAATTGAATGCGATTATTGTATGCAAGTCTTGACAAGAAATAATTGCAAATGTCTTTTGTTTACACCAATGCAATTATGTTTAGGCGATTATTGCTTTCAAGTTTTGACTTGTCTAAACACATGCTTGTATGTGCGTGTACAATTTATTGGCGTGTTGCTTCAAGTATTGCACGTATTTGCGTTGACAAATATTTCATTCAAGTGTTGAGCGTTTTGAAAAGGGCGTTGGAAAAGTGTTTATTTAAAAAAAATGGGTCGATAATAAGTGTTCAAGTTAGATTATGCCGATTTAATATATTTCTATTGAGATTTATTTATTATTATCCATATATTATTATTTATTTTTTTGTCCAACTTTTTTTACGACCTTTTCTCAATATTTCTATCCTCAAAAGATCAGCATCGATAAAATGAGGGTATTTAATCGATGCTGATCTCATCGCACTCATCGCACTCATGTTTGCAAATGAAGAGAGAAAATTGAATGCAAGAATTGCTTAAGAAATTATTGTATGTGCTGTTTACACCAAGGAAAGTTTTGAAACAAAACTTGAAGCAAATCTTGTTCAACAGGCAGAATGTTATGTGCTGTTTAGACCATGCAACTCATTTATTGCTTCAATTTAATTGTATACAACAGGCAAGAAACTTGCACTGTGTAAATGGGCCTTTACTTTTCCGAACCGGTGGTAGTATTTTGACTATAAATAAGCGAGTGAAAAACTCCTATGTTGAATGAAGACATTTGATTTTGATTTTAAGACTTAATTCTCAGTAGATATAGTATACTAGTGTCAGTTGAAGGGTTCAAAATGTTCTTTCAGCTACTGTCTGTGTGGCATGAGTCGAGCCTTACAATGACACATCGTATTGGTATTCGTATCACATTTGGTATATTTGGCAAACATTGGAAAGTATACATGTATGTGTAATACGTAATACAATTTGCCGATGCGACAAACACGGCAAACACCGAATACCCGTTACCGCGAATTCATTGTTTTCTCGTGGCACTTTAAAGGTACAGAACGTATATTTCTGAACTGTTACGTGGGAGAAGGTGGTAAGCGCGTTTTTTTTTATGTGAAAAGTTGTCAAATGAGCCGAAGGTTCACCTGATGTTAAGTGAATACCGCCGCCCATAGACATATGCTACACCCGAGGGTTGCAGATGCGTTGACAACCTTTTGAAAACTGGGCTTCACCTAGTGTTAAGTTATTGCTACCCGTGGACAGTTGTACGTAAGCCTCAGAGTTCGTGCCCGATGAGGCAGGCTATTGTGACACCTTTAACAGCAGAAGCTATCGTGATACTCCTCCACCATAAAACGTATCTGTCTGAACGTGTAGACAGTCGTATTTGTTCGTTTATGTAAGACGATAGCAAGAGTGCTGGCGGTTCACGTGATGTTAAGTGATAATCGCTGCTTACGGACATTTGCAACACCCGTTCGGTTACAAATACGATGCCACCTTTAAATTAAGTGGAGTCCGGCTACGGATACGAAGTACCTTTACTTTACGCCGGTCTTCTGCGAATCGTTGTACTTCCCCGGACGGACCTGCCCATTCGTGCAACAGCCGAAGCTACCACAGCCAAATACGTAGAGTAAGGTAGGGCCATCTTTTGCCAATTACAACGCACAGCGAATACGAGCGTCGTGTGAAGTGTCTTTATAGTTTGTGGATGATAGTTTACCTGTCAAAGGAAACTGTGACCCTGAAGAGTCTTTCTGGCTCGGAGCAGGGCGGCACCGCAGCTGGAGCGCGCACCACGCCGCTCAAGTGGAAACCTGGAAATAAATACAGATCCATCATCATTATCATCATCACATCAGCCTGTTTGAGCCCACTGCTAAACATAGGCCCCTCCAAAAAACCGCCCCTCGCACGACCCTGAGCCACCTGCATCAATCGACTTTGTTATTCACAGATAACTTATTATTTTTTACAATGTAGCTTACGTGTTTGGGGACACGTTTGGGCCAAGTTTAAATATATACTTGTTTAATAAATACTTGTGGTACTTCCGCTTAAGCCCATACAACGTAATATTTAACCACGCTTTCCTATTATTACCATTAATGCAATATTCAAAATTTTCCGTCGTGGTCCATTGTGAAACCAACCTCCCGGTTCCATTCTGGACCGTCTCTCCCAAACAATTGGGTTCGAAATCGCGTGGCGAACTCGCACCGGTGTGTTATGGTGTAACTCTAATAATCCAATGGAGCATTGCGATTTCAGGGTTAAATTGGCAATGTCGAAATGGCAACAGCCTCCGTGGGCAGCCGATTTGAAGCACATTTCGTTTTTGATCCGACACAAATGGAAGGTTTCTAAACGATCGCCAAATTGGCAAATTGTTACAAGGCAATGGTCTGTCGATTTGTTTTTTTTATAATCAATAGTTGTGTTCATACAAAAAGCCGGCCAAGTGCGAGTCGGGCTCGCGTACGAAGGGTTCCACACCAAATATCATGTGTGTTGAATGGGAGCCCCACAAATTTTTTTTACAGAACAACAGGCGGCAACAGAAATACATAAGCTGTAACGGTTGTCGCCTGGTGACAGACGGACAGACAGGCAGAGACTGACAGACAGCGGAATCTTAGTAATAGAGTCCCGTTTTACCTTTTGGGTACGGAACCCTGAGAAGACGACGTAACTTAACCAGTATTAAACCTTGGACCACCAGCTCGCTTGCTTCCAATAAAAAAACACCAACGACTCAAATTAATTAAACACAATAACGCCACTAAACATGTTTCGTGTGTTCATTTAAAATACATTCCAATATATCGTGCATTTCCTGTGCTATATATCGTGCAAATATTTTGAAAATAGGCTTCGCTAGTAGCGGGCGTTTGCTAAACATTTCGCAATAATGGCCGCGAATTTAACAATTTTACGATGTTTTGTTACGATTAACTACCCTTGGACGATTGAGCTATTTAAGCGTGAATGATTGAGAATGAATTTTGAATAACTTACAGATGCAAATACAAAATATTCATAAACATACGTGTGTGTTATTCAAAACTAGTTAACTAGTGACCTCGTCCCAGTGGATAGAGTAATGGAATTAAAATGAAAACTAAAATGACTTTTATTTCGAATATTTATACACCATCGCGACAATAAATGAACACACGTCTATCGCTACTTGCCAATAATCATAAAAAAATATTAACGTTAAATAAAATCCATAATTAAAAAAAAATATTTTTCAAACAAACTAATTAAGTAAAAAAGAAACAAAATTTGTAACAGCCTTTACAACTCGCGCACAGCGTCATATTACAAGCCTCTACTTCTAACAGTATGTTTTGTCTCTTTTAAATTCATTCAACCCATTCATATGCTTTGTGACCTTTACAAATGAACTTTACGTTACGCTTTTAAAGGTAAGGGTGTTCTAAAATTCTTTGTTTTGAAAAATTTAATAACTCTGTAAATATTGATGTTTTAAGAATTTAAATGTTTAATACAGCTTTAAAAAGTTATCCCCTATATGTGTGTTCATTTATTGTCGCGATGGTAACGACATGCTGTATATTGTTTTGTTATGTTTACATTTATTTTAAGTTTTTCTAATATTATTTTACATAATGTGTAGTTACATTATTATTTTTAAGTTTTTGTATCTATTGTGCTTAGACCGTGAATAAACGTTTCTTCTTCTTCTTCTTCTATTTCTATTCAAATGCTCTGAACACTGCAACTAAAAACTAAAAAATTAACTTGTTTATAAACTCCTGTAATTTTCATTGAAATATATTAGGCCGTTTTGGAGCGCATTCGAGAAGAACTTTCAGACAGACAGACAAAAATTTGAAAACGGTCATTTGTGATTAGACCTAAATAGCATTTGTCGTTTAAATTTTACTATTGTTTTTTTAAATCATAGTAACACTCCACTTTTGTTATTAGTATTTTTAATACATAATTGTGTTTAATAGGTAAGAGCATTTTGTCTAAACTTTATAAAAAGAGTTTATTCAGAGTATTTTAAACTACATGATAAAGTACATGATGTAAAATATATAGTATATAACTAATACAGCACTTTTATGAAGTTTCGTATAACATTAAGAAGGGATGTAACACAGCATTATAAGCGTTTCTGTGATAAAACATAAGCGAGAAATACGTCTACTTTTTATCTTTTCTAATGTCATCTTAATTACACCCACTCAATGACATAATTCAATGTACTGTTTCTCAAAAGTTATTGTAAAGAATAAGTATCTAAACATTTGTTATTAATAAACGTAAAGTAAATCGATAAATTTCTTTTTCCATTGAACGTATTGTTCCTATAGCGGCAACCGAAACACACGTGAATATTTAAACTGTCTAACTATCACGGTTCATGAGATGCAGCCTGGTGACAGATGACAGACTGACAGAAAGACAGACAGACCGACTGTAGAGTACGGAACCCTAAAAAGCACAACTTATAAGACCCGTGTTGTATAAAGTTTCACACAAGAATCTTTAATAGAGATAGAGAGTTTAAATCGGAATACATCCGTGGGCGGAGGTTGCTGACATCACCATTTCGATATACTACTGTAGATGATTAACAGTTAAAAAACTTTTTCATTCACAAAAAAGAATCATATTCAGAATACTATATGTATAATGTTGATGTTGTTAAGGGTGATATTGCTTATTATGGCTCAATAAAAAATACGCGTTGGCGCTTTGAGAGCTTATTTGTGACTGACTTAATGCACATTGCATACACAAATATAGTTACAATTACGCATAGTGAAAGTTACTATGCGCTTAGACAATGACATATTCCAAATTATGAATATAACCTCACGTAAATCATCCATCTCGTAATAAAAAATAAACTAAATTATATCTTTGACATTCAATTGAAGAAGTTTAACATACTGGAAAAATAAAAATAAATTAACACAATAATTGAAACACGAAAAAGATTTACAATTAAAGAGATACAAATAAAAAATACAAATTAAAAAGAGTAATAAAAAATACATAAATGAGGCTCAAAATGTATTGAATAGGCTAAAACTTTCTAGATTTAGATTCATTTAAAAATGTCGTGAATAGGATACGAGTCTACCAAAAAATATCCCATTATTGTCGCGGCGAAATTCCGTGCACCCAAAGCACGAAACCGTCGCAATCGAAAACGGCAAAACGACAAGAGTGAGCCCGCCTATTGTGGCGCACAAAAAGCCGAGGCGATTTGCAAAATAATTTCCGCAGCGCTGAACAACGAGTTACAATCACGCCCCGATTCAATTATTTCGTAATTGGGCGATTTCCAAGTGTATAGCGTCTATCTACAATGAACGGGCGATGTTATCAAAAATGGCGGACTCACCGTTTCCCCTAACCTCCAAATTGTAATCAATCCCCGCTGATATAAGGACGTAGGAACGAATTTATTCACAAAATATAACTTGTCAAAAGCAAAAGGTAAAATAAATACTTCAAGGCAACTCAATAATTGTGAACGCAAGCAAATTAATTATTTAGCAAAAATTGTATAATTAGTTTTTTTACTCTGCAGAGATCGAATGACTAAGAATAAGAAAGTACTCTTCTTGTGTACCCATTCGATTTGTTCATGGAAGCGGAAACTGGAATGGCACTGGACGAAAAGAGGCAGTGTATATTGAAAAGAAATAATAAAGATGGCGGTGTTAGCGCAGCTGCGTTTTTGGAGTAGGGCTGTTTCTACGTTCTCTTAACGGCAGGTTTCTTTTCGATAAGTCAATAAACTTTATAATTCGCCTTTCCGTTCCCACGCTCTAAGGTTTCCGATTTCGAGTCTGGTTTTCTTATTTTAGTGTTTGTACTTTTTTAAAACTACAAAAGATAACATTAATAAAGGCGCCAATAATGTTGCGTGTGTGGAAGTTCATGCATGAAGTAAATAAGAATTCAGGATAGACATAGTTAAGATAGATGACGGGTAGCAATTGACAGAAACACAATAATCAGCGTTACCGTTTACGGTAATTTGATGGAAAGAAAAACACAATAAAAAGACATGAAATGCAACATGAAAAGTCCCCATAAGTAGGTCCATATTAAAGAAAAAGCCTTATATCTTACTGAAGGCACGGCATTGGGAGTTGTAAGAACCTCAGACTTGTTAACAAAAAAACTAAATATAGTCTCAACAAGAAGCTAAGGGCTGCCGCCGATTCGGTTAAAGCTGGATCCGATCTATTGTTGGGAACAAAGCGATTTTATTAAATGAAACGTCTGTGTGCACGCAGTGGGTCGGCCTCGCGCTATCCAGGTCATTGGCGAGGTCAAGGCAAGCGCTGTACCATTGTGAACTCCGCTACTCGGCACAGGGGAAGGGGCGGGACGGATTGTTTGATTAGCATAAATCCGGCTTCAGGCACGGCGCAGAACTGCTGCGAATATGCAGTGCACTTTGTCGAAAGCAAAAAGCTCGCAGTCCGCAAGCCCCCAAGGTCGTTGCACCCTCTGTCCGTAAGCTAAGAGTTTACGTGTCCGTGTTCGTCTGGAGCACGTGTTTTAAACAATAACTAAAGGAAAATGGGAAAGAATCATCGGAATGTGCACTTTGTAACTCTCCTTTAGGTTATTCCAAAATCAAGTAATCGCTTTATTTACGATTTAATATCAAATATAAGTATTTAATAGTGTTAAATTTCCAATTGACAAAAAAAAGGATTTTATCAAATCATGTCGACCTTAAGTGATCAATTTAAACCAATTCAAACTGTACAAGGTATTTAAATATTAAAAACAAATTTTTGTTGGCCGTCATCCTGTTGAGCCGAAAAGGATGCGGATATCATTAATTGGACCGGTACGGGACATTAAGCCTCTAGAAAGTTGTTTACAGATCCGATTCTGAATAACAAATGTAAATAACAACCACTTTCACTTTGTTATTGGGCCGCTTTTGAAACATATTTCACGTTTTATGACTAGGCCTTTAGTTGGCCTTAATTCGAAAAATAAATAATTAAAAAGCTTAAATTAACTACATAATATGTTTCAAAATAAATTAAAACACTCAGAAGTAACGTTGAAATGAATGTTAAATATCAAAAAAATATTCTCGGCTCTAAGCCAGCTTTAAAATAAAAAATATTTTAGGATAACCTTTTTTAAATTATAAATGGCGGCAATTTTTTTAAACGGCGAATGTGATAAATTCGCGCGGTTCGCTATCCGTTTTATTAACGACTGTACTTGTTCGCGTACAGATTCGGTCGCTTTTAAATTTTGTGCGCGTTTGTATTATTTTTTGTGCTCTATCTGCGGCAGTGCTGGCTGGCAGCAATTTAATGTTCGTTGCTAATTATTTATAAATGAAAAATTGTTCATGGAGTTAAGATATTTATTTTACACTTTCTATTCTTTTATTCACTGGATGAGATACTGTTTAAAATTTAAACATGTTCATCAAATAAAAGTGTATGACATTTTTATTTTTAAACCTTGAAAACTGTCTCAACCTTTATGGTGTTATCAGTAAAATAAATTTATTACTTCTAATAATATTTCAAACTAAAACTATAAGCGTGTCGTATTCGTATCGGGGTACCTTTTTTTTGTTTATATAATAATACAATTTAGGACACTTAAATTATCTCATAACAAAACGTGATATTGTTATTCACTTGAATTTCTACAGAGTTCAAATCAGATGGCCCACTTTTAAGGCGCATAAGGCATTTGTGTGAAGCGACTCGACCGGTTTGTTTACATTAATCATACGGCGCCGCTGTATGTGTGCGCCTTCGTAACCTTTCACTGTGTGGGCCACGTCTTTACGTCACTTTGTTTACATTCATCTTCGTGTGCGTCAACAATAAACTAGACGTTAGTGTGAGTACAATCAGAACACCAAGCGGCGCTGCATATAGCGGACAGTCCAGTAATTAGTTTCTTATATTATTACGAAAAATTTGCAGTACATGTTTACATTTATATGTATATCATTCAAAGTATCATTTTTTCTTCTCTCTCACGTAAAGAAATATACGCAACAAATCCTTGAAATTTTGCTCTTAATTCTACTTCAGTTATAGAGTCGCCGACTAAGAAGTTTCACTCCAATATTATGTATTTGGTCGTGTATAATAAATTCTTATACACGACCAAATACTTAATATTACTTATACGTTATACGTTGTACCCGTTGTAATACGTCTCGTTTAAAACACCTAGACTGTGGTTACCGTAGCGCAATACGTCACGCAGGTAGCGGTGGCACGTGCGCGTGTGGGTGTGTTCGCGTGCCGACGTGACGTCACGTCGTTTCGTCACGCGACGCGCCGGTGTGCGTAACGACGTACCGGAGAGCGTGGTGTGCGTCGCAGACACGTCGACTCAATGTTACATTTTTGTGACCTTAACCGTCAGGCATTTTGCAAGACTTGTCGTTTACGTAATTATTTTCGTTTGTTGCGTTATATTTATATAAAAAGATTCGCTCTATAATTACTATTAGTGTGCGGAAATAAATATGTGTCAGCGTTAAACTAATGTATGCGCTAACCGTTTCGTAGCATGTTTATCGTTATTATTTGTTATTTGTGTGACGCGAGAAAGTATTGGAGGGAACAAAGCAACGGACAAGTTCTTCGGTATGAATATTATGTATTTGGCTCGAAACCGAAATGCAGGAGCCGTGCCGCGGCGGCGGACATTTTGTTTAGCCTACGGAGTGAACGGAGTCGTGCCTTTCACACGTAGCGCCGAATTGAAGATGTTTTTTAAATAAACTTTTTTTTCAATCTTAACCGATTTCAGAGCTTTGTAACAAATGTACGTATTAATAACAATAAGGTAATACCTAGTTTTTAACTTATTGTTCTAAGGCCATAATTTTTAATTTTTATAAAGTAGGTTTATAATTTATTCAGTTAATTATATACACGAAATAACATCTATATAATTGCAAACTGTGTAAGATCGGTGGGTTTAACATATTCTTGAAGAATACGTTTGTTCAGCAGAGGATTTTGATCACAGAAATCGACTTGTCATTGATCATTAAAATGTTGTAGCTGAAGAATGAGTGGTTTTTAAATAGACGAATACTTTTTGAAATAAAAACCAATCAAAAACTAGAAAAACATATAAGCGTAAAATAACATCTCTAGAACATTCTACGATGAATTTTTTCCTTTAATCTGAAAATTATTATAATTACAAACATTGTACGTACACGGAATTGCCAGTGCAAGATTGTAGAGTAAAGAGTACGATGTACATAAAGAATAGTAATACATTGTAAGTAACTTGTAAACGAGTAGGTATAATAATTAGTGATTTTATCCTGGGATATTTTTTTTGACTCACAAAAGGTATCACATATTTATTTTATGTACTTTTAAACAAAGCTAAAGCTAAACAGGGGAAAATATTGGAGATTCGTGTTATTGATTTGGGTGTCATGTCTGTGTATTGTGTTAATAATTGATTTGGGTGTCGGTTTAAGCTGTAGCCGTTTCTAAAGGCAATTTTCAATTTACACCTAGTTTATTGTAGTCACATTTGATATACGAATTCGTGAAGAATAATAACGCACAGATTAAAGATGGCTGTAGAGGGGGTGCGTTTGCGACCAAATGTTCAGAAGTGCCGCAACATCTGCGATTCCGTTGCAAATCTCTCCTGAGGGACGCGTGTGCAATGGCGGACGTATTTTTGGCGCGCTCGGGTGCAATTTCGCTTGTCAAACGAAATTTTGGCGCGTAACTGCAAAGGGGCATTTCGCGAACGTAATTTTGAAATGCGCCTACGTAATTAGGTTTGTCGTTAGTTGGTACTTATTGTAATTATCGTCGGGGGCTTGTTTCAAACTTTTTAGAAGTTGAAACGAAAACGGTCTCTTTGTCAAACGACAATTTTATGGAATCTGAGGTGCTGTTGCGTTATTACATATTTGTAGCTGCAATCATTATCAATTTACTTTCGTCTGTTTATTAAGATATACAAAGTTATATTATTTATTTTGTAGCTCTGATGATTTGGCATGGGGCCAATATATCCAATGAGGGTGCGGCTTCCCCAGTTCGCAATCGGAATCCGCCGCACCTGCTGTACACAGGTGACGGAAATCTATTAGCACTTGACACGGGGGCGAACGCCCTTTGTTTTAAAATAAGAAAAAATGGGGCGCCACCTTTCCCGGTGTCCGGAATGTTGAGTTTTGACTTTTTGGAACGTGTCAAAACATTTTTATTTGTATTTCAGTCGGTGCCGGGATCGTGGAAAACTGGATTTGAGTTTGTTTGTTATTTTTATTCAATATGTTATGTGCAGATTTATTTCCTTACATTGATCACGAAAACATTTGGTATCTAAGTTTAATTCTTTTTAAGTGGCCTGTCATTCGTTCCAATCTTTAGCCGTTAGTGACCACGAACTGTTTAGTAACACTACGAGTAAATTTAATTAATTAATTAATTTCTTTAATAATTTATGTACCCAGTGTACATAAAAAGAAATGTAATTACAGAAAAAAAATTGTACAGAGGCCGGAGGCCCTGCTTATTTCTTAAGAAAACTCTTCTACAGGCAAAATATTCCTTTGAAGTTTTAAACTTTGACTTGGCAAAGGATTTGCTGAGATAGATTGTGAGCTGCGTGGATCCATTACGTATTTATATCAATATTGCCAATGTTGATATGTTCCATAAAAAGCGAACAAGATTTAGAAAAAAGACAAGAAATTGCGCGATAGAGATTATTTACATGTAAGGAAATGGCAAACTGGATTGTCGTTAATTACGTCAACATTGTCAACGACGGGGTTCGGTTCTCGGGCTGCGAGGCAGATGTTGCTTTAAACGTTGCTGACAGCCTAAGAAAAAAACCCTTTATTTATACGACTGCTACGTTCCAGATGGTTGATATGATAATTATGTCGAATCGGTCTCGCAAAAAAACCATCTATTTCAATATAAGTAATCTGTATTTCCAACACAGCACATTGTGACTGCTTAGATCCTTAAGAAGATGCATAGTGCATAGTTTATTTACTATTGCACATTTAATGTAACGGTCATTCTTAATACGGCAGGAAGATAGAGGTAAGTGGCTGCTATAATTTTAAACAATTGGGATAAAAAAAGCAAAGAAAATATTTGAATTCCCTTTGATTATCTTATAAATAACATCGTTATTTATAAGATAATGATAACTATCAAAATATATTGATTACGAAATGTCTATATCCATTCGCTAAACAGTTATACAAAGTATGCCTTTATATTAAGCGGCTTGACCATTTAATTTTTAAAATGACTGCAATATAAACGGAACTTGTTAAACTAAATATTTAAACATATATATATAGATAAAATAATTCCAGAATAGACTTCAGATCGCCCATAACATATGATGTTTGAAAGTTAAAACTAAAAAAACATAATGTCATTCTTATAAGGCAGATAAAATTGTAACACGTAACCGTAACGTTCTAAATAGGAATTAAGTAAAAAACTCTTTGAAAAAGGAACACGCTTAAAATAGAGAAATAGAAATAAAAATAATTGCAGAATAGCCATCGCCCATAACATTTGGAAGAGATGTGAATGTGATTATATATGTTTTTGTTTTACAAAAACAAAAAATCACATTAATTTAAGGCAGAGAAATGTATGTTTAAGTAACGTTTGACTCCATGAAACCTCTTCGAAAATGGAACGCGCGCCCGGAGCGTTTCTCGCTCGGCCGCCGTTTTTTCTGCCGCCACGCGACAGGTACGCACAAAATGGCGACGCTGCCCGCTCCAACCGCCCGCGATGCAACGGCCCCACATTAGCGGCGCGCCTAACAATATCCGGGCGAACGAATTTATCGCGCGCAAGTGCACCCCGCGTCGGCCGGGTAGGCGGAATAAAAATGAGGCAGGTAGGCATGCCAGATGCGCCAGGTAATGGACTCACCGGACGCGGCCGTTACTGATTATGTCGTTAGATGTCAACTTCATTACCATACTCGTGTGGGTCGGGTGTCCGTTTTATCTGTTGTAATTATTTATGAGGCGGCCGGCATGAAACTGGCGTACGTGAGATCGCATACGAAAACGCTATACTGTTGGTTCGTGCCACGATACAGTCCAGCAAGAATGTGAAACATTTTGTTCTAAAAGGCAGTATTATAGTCATAGCTAGGCGGACATAATCAAACAGGATTTTCAGATTTAATTGTCATGTAGCAAACTGCTAGCGTATATAAGACTGTATATTTTAATTGTCACTGATAAATAAAAAAAAAAATTAAATGGCGATTAAGAAATTAGAACATTGTTAGCGGAGTACCAACAATTACGTATGCGACTAATTTTTTCATGAATAAACTATCATATACGTAAACTAAATTCCAAATTAATTTAAAAAACAATTACATGAAAATGTTACTTTACGATAAACGTTGTCACATAGAGATCTTCAAGAAAGTTTTGAAGTAGAAAAAAAAACTTCAAAAAGTATTGAAGAAGCAGTTTCTCAACGTCTCACATATTTTGGTGAACTAACACAATTCATGCAACAGTTATTTTAGGATATTTCTTTCGTTATCTGTTGATTAAAACTTTACCTAATAAATATAAAACAAAAACGAACTTAATGCTGAAAAGCATTGACTTATAGCACTAAATAGAAACTAACCCAAGAGTGTGAATGTTAAGCATAATAAAACAAAATATCAGCATTCTGCACTCCTCTATATAAACTATAAGTGTGGGGGGTGTAACTATTTCATACTCCTCCGTTCGCGCAATTTTCGTATAAAGAGGATCAAAGTTTTTGTTTCACGTATTAATAGAAGATTACAGACTAACAGTCAATAAATGAATCCTAATTCTATACGCGGCGAGAGTTGCCTTACGCGTAACATGATGTTTACCGAAAGTATTATCAATTTCTTCGGAAGTGAAAGCTTAGTTCACACTGGTGTGTGCATCCAAGATTACTTAAGTAAACAATGCATAACAGAACGGATAACTATTACTGTGGTAGGCCCTGCAACGGTCCTTGCTGTTGCACAAATGGGCAGGCCCGTCCGGGGAAGTGCCACGACCTCATAGAAGACCGGCGTGAGGTAGGAGTGTTATACTTCTGCGTTTCGTTCGGTGATCTAACCAGGGCGCAGTTTATTAAAGTGGCAAAGCATCTGCAACTCTATGGGTGTTGCAAATGTCCACTCGCTTTTTATACGTCACGCTCTCTAAGTTCTTTCTTCTCTCTCATGTAAGGAAATGTGACTAAACGCGACGCGTCCTGAAATTTCAATCAATCCACATCCAACATTATCGCGTTCTTCACGGTGATCCAATAATATAGGTAGACCTCAGCATACCATAAGCTCTTTTCACGTAGATCTTAATCGAATAAATAATGAAATAATTGACGGTAGCCCAGGTTAGTTCTAACGTAAAAAAATCAGTCTTTCTTGCTAAAATAAACGCTGTAGAGTATTCGAAACGCCGGGAATTCATAGTAAAAATAAAAAAACGCAGTATTATTTAAGAAAAATTGAATCAATTTATACGAGTGCTTTGGTTGAAGATGCGGTGTAGGCGAAACAAGATTGTTTATATCGCGCGCAATTGTTTATATTCCCGACCTTTGACTCTGCGCATTTGACACTGCTCCTCGAACAAAATAAATGATTTTGCTTTTAGCTCTACTTATTTATTTCTAGGACGATCAACAACGTCCAAAATAAACGTTTTCCTAAATTTGCCTATGTTGAGCTAACCTAATAGAAATTGAAAGTAAAGAGTGAAATTACAATAGTAGGCACGAACAAAAATAGTTTTAATCTTTACGGTTAAACCATAAGTAATAATTATAGAAACATTTTCCGTAAATTCTACTCATCTCTTTAATGGGTTAATACTGTCAAATCTAAAACTGCCCATGAAAAATATTGCTATTCAAAGCTCTACCACTACCTTTACAAATAGAATTATTGCTGTCTTTATCTAATTTCGTCAATAAAACCGCTTAAAAATCAATTCTCGTGTGTACGTGTTATTGCGTAATTTTTAACGTGTACGTGTTGGCGGACTTTCTAAGGTTTATTAATTTTGCGAATAAAGACACTAATTGTGGTTGAACAGTGTTTGAAGTTGGGTTCATTGTATCCCACGCACCAGGAGGTCTTGGCATAGATAAAACGAGATAGCGCTGCTTGGAAACGTTATAGGGCGCAAGTAGGGGTTACGAAACGGTGATTAAGATGCTAGTGTCAAATGAGAGTTTTTAGTTATCAGTTGCAAGGGCTGCAGGCGATTTTACTGAATCCCGGTAATTGGCTATACACAATTTTGTGTATGTTACAACACTATAACTAAGATGCTGTAAAATTATTTAACAACAATACAAGATCATGCATTTCCAGGTAGGAGTACAGCGCTGAAGATAAAATCCAATGTACCAGAGATGCATAAGTCGATAATTTAAACTGGCTTCGGATATCTTAACAAGAACCAAAACTAGTGAATCTCAGCTACAGAAAGAAGTAGCTGTATCAGTAAACCCAGAATCTATGTGCCTGAGCCCAACGGATTATAAAGAAATAGACAAAATTATCCTTAACTTAAAAAGCAATAGCGCCCCCGGAATAGACAGAATATCAACAATTGTTCTTAAAAACTCTCACCAAGTACTATGTAGTTTAATTTCCCATTTGTGCAATCTAAGTTTTTCGTGCGGTACTTTCCCCAATAAATTTAAAAAAGCTGTAGTTGTCCCTGTATACAAGGGTGGCGATATGGATTCAGTATCAAACTACAGACCTATATCGTTACTAAGCGCAATTAGCAAAATTATTGAAAGAGCTTTTAACTCCAGACTCACCAACTTCTTAGAAAATAAAAATCTTTTAGCAACTTGTCAATACGGTTTTAGAGCAGGCAAAAATACTGAAGACGCTGTATCTAGACTCACGGAATTAGTCACGAAGACCCTAGATATGGGTAAAAGATGTGTGGCTATTTTCTTAGATCTTCAAAAAGCCTTCGACACCGTGTCCATACCACTCCTCTTGTCGAAGCTTGAGAATTTGGGTATACGCGGCATCCCACTAGAGTGGCTACGTGATTATTTGACAGCCAGAAGCCAAGTGGTTAAAGTGGACTACATTTTTAGTGCTAGCTCTAATGTCAATTATGGCATACCTCAAGGTAGCACTCTTGGTCCTACGCTTTTTTTGGCCTATGTAAATGATCTTTGCAGTTTAAAAATTGACAATGGACATGTTCTTGCATTTGCAGATGATACCGCACTAATTTTTAATGGGGAAACATGGCCTATGGTTGAGAGATCCGCAGAAAATGGTCTTAGGAACGTTATTAAATGGCTAGATAAAAACTTGCTTACAATAAATATATCAAAAACAAAATACGTTTGTTTTAGAATATCTAGTGCCACGAATCCGCCAAATTATTTTACGATAAAGACCCATTCCTCCACTTGTGTAGTGGATGTCCAGTGCAATTGTGATTCTTTAGCGCAAACAGAAAATCATAAATACCTGGGTGTCATAATTGACAAAAACCTTAACTGGCATTCACAAATTTCGGCATTAAGCAAAAGAGTTAGAAAACTTCGTCCTATTTTTAGAAACCTCCGAGATGTTGCGGAACCCAAATTGATAAAAAACATATACTATGCCCTCTGCCAATCGCTAATTAATTATTGTATCACAGTATGGGGTGGAGCTGCTTCCTCCCATCTTTTGGAATTAGAAAGAGCTCAAAGAGCAGTTATTAAAGTGATGTATCGCAGGCCCAGAAAATACTGCACTAAAAAGCTCTACGAGGAAACAGAACTTTTCTCTGTTCGCCAATTATATATATTTAAGTGTGTTCTTCGTCATCACAGATGCATAGACTTAAAACAGTTACCCCAAAATAAGAGAAGGGTTAGGACTGCTGTTCCTACTTTCAACACGATGTTTGCTAGAAGACAATTTTATTATATGGGTCCATTTTTATACAGATACTTCAACGATCTACACCAAATGGTTGAGGTAAATAGAAGGCGCCTGAAGATAGCGCTCAAAAATAGTTTAAAGAATCTGGAACAAGTTGATATGGAAAATATCTTAAAAATTAAGTAACTATAGACACACACGCATACGCACACGCACGCGCACATACGCGCTCACACACACTCGCACGCGCACACACACACACACACACACACACACACACACACACACACATAACTAATCCAGTACAAACACATATAGATACACACACGGATACACATATTCCTCTACATGTTTGTATTTTCTTTGTAATTATGAATTAGTTTTATATTGCGTTTTGATGTAATTATGTACTCTTGTAACTATGGTACACCTTTTAAAAGATTCTGTTACGGGATGGAGGGTTGATTACTTGAGACACAGGAGTCGTCCTAGTTCAAGTGTCAATCTACCATAATCTATTCTTGTATTTCTGTTTTCATGTATTTTTGTATCGTATCTTATAATTTATCTTAGTTTATAGCCACTTTTGTTGATTATGGTGAGGAATAAATGATTGGGGGTATATTCATTTGTTTTCTCGTCTGGTTGGGTTTATAAATAAATGATTATTATTATTATTATTATTAATTACATTGTTCTCGATGCGTAAAGTCTAACACAACTTGGAGATTTTTCTGTATATTACCCTAGGCGCATGCATATATATATATATGTAAATGCCGGGCGAGGACCTCCACTGTGTATATTAATGGGGAGGGTAATAGAGACATGCGGGTGTGCAGACTTCACATATCTTCGAAATAATTTGAAAATATGCAAGTCTTTTAACAAAATTTTGCTTCACCGATGCATATTATAATCAGATTAATTTTATTAGTTTAATCACATTAATTTTTCACTCGTGGCGGGTTTTGAGTTTATGGTCGAATCACATGTTCAACTTATAATAAGTCTATGCT